CCACTTGAGTTTGAGCAATTTTTTCGAAAATTGGCAATTTGTAAATCCCCATATCTCAATTATTTATTATTTCCCAAGCTCAATATTTGGCAAAGATAATGTTTAGAGTTATATTTGAACAATTAAATAAAAAAAAATAATTTCAAAGATTGGTCTTGGAAGATTTTGGGCATTAAATTTGTAATACTTTTGGCAATTCTTGAAAATTGGCATCATGCCAATTTTCAAGAGTTGTCTGCCCTTTGATATATTGCATATTTGATTATGATAAATGTGAATTTTGAAAGAACATAGTCTTATGTTATTCAAAATACCTTAATGGAAATGCAAGTTTAATTTTGAGTAAAATAAATCAAATGTGAATTTTACCATTTTTCTTGAATTTTTTAAGTGCATTTGCACTTAAATGTGCAAAAAGGAGGTGGCGCTGCCTACGGCTGCCATGTTGAATGATGGGAATTTTTTTGGTCATTTTTTAATAACATATTATAAAGTCTAACTACCCACCAAATTTCATTAAGATATGACAACCTTCGATTTGGACAGTTCTGCATGGTTTTCTCGCGGACTGGCTCTTAAGTGAATCTCGCACGAATTTTCATGTATTCTCATACTTTCACACACTCGAATGTGTACACAAAGGAAAGTTTCAAAGGTTGGAGGTCGGCTAAATCCCAAAATTAATGAAAAGAAACGTTTCTGCTTAGGAAAAAAAAATATTAAGGTCAATTTTATGTAATATAATTTTGATACCTGGTATATATTTCTGAATACGAAACCTGTATGATGCATTTCTTATGATATGCAAGTTCAAATAGTATCAATATATTGCGTGTCTAACGTACGCTTGTGGAAGAGAATTGATTTTTATATTTGAAATGTACGTTACGTATGGTAACGTACATTTTACGTATTTCTAACTGACATATTTTTTTAATTTAGTCAATGAATTGCGTTTACACGAGCGAAACAAAATTATCGTTACAATCCATTTGACAACTGGCCACATAAATCCATCTAAATGCACCCCCAATCCTCGTAAATGTTTTAGACTGTTACCACATGCTAGAAAATTTATTTTTAAGTGTTTTAAATTCATCTTTGACAACCTTTTTGCAGGTGGTTTACTTTTAATATGCGACTTTTCGTCAATATTAATTTAATTATTGTTGATAATTCAAAATAAAACAATGTATGCATAGGCTTATAATTGGTATAAAAAAAAGAAACAAAAAAAAACAAATAAACCCAGAACACAAGACGGTCACGTACATTTCAAATACTGAAAGGCACACAATACTCAGTTTTGTTTGAATCATTGCATTTTGGGTTATATACTGAGAGGAAAAAGAAACGCATAATAGCATAATAGCGAAATATATTTAACTATAAGGCCGAAAATTATGAAAATTGGTCAAATGTGTATTTTGATTACTGTGCACTAAAATTGCTGTCAAAATTACTCAACCATGAAATGTATGGCGTCACGTAGGGGAAATGATAAAAAGCCAAAAAACACGTGCATGTTGATGATGACAATTTTATGATCACATTTTGTGGTGCTAATCGATGCATTGGAGATATAGACATCGTTTTCCGCATTTGAAATCAGTATAAATTTCGTGCAATCATGGTATGGCTGACGGAAGTTACAATGGTTCCAGTAATTGAATTGCGTAAGTGAATGAAAAGGCAACAAGATGTTGCTGTGCAGTTTGTTTTAAACTTTTCAACAAGAAAGGGTTTTTCAGTTGTCGGAGAGTAAATTAAAAGGTTTCCAACCAACCATGGCGGTGACGTTGACGCGTAACAACGTCACATCAAGACAGGGCTTTTCATCATGTCACCTCGGTTGTTGTCAAGCTATTATCACTGAAACCGATATTTATACAGAAAACTATCATACCAATATTTTCACCCTAAAATTGACAGAAATTCTCTGCTCTAATTTGGTCCGCGAGCTTGGCAACTTTAACGTCGATTTTACTCTCACGCGCGCACGTACACGTCATGTGCGTAATGTTTTTAGCATGTTCACTCTGGGAAAGTGTAGCCAGTGTTTGTCGAGACTTTCTCACAAACATTCACGTGTACCAAACCAGCTGGATTCTGTAAATTCTATCCTAAAATGAAAATTCGTGGCACTCATTTGGCGGGGGGATTTGTTGGCTTTGGAATAATACAGCTTCTATCAACCATTAAGACTATTGTCGGAAGAGTTGAATAATAATCAAATGAGAAAGATAAATGCTCTGGTGAACTCAATGCACAGGAAAATTCAAGGCTGTTACCAATGTGCAAGGGAGATTATGAGAATTTTTATTTTAATTTTGGGGGGTATCGACATATCAATTTCAATAACTCAGGAATTATCAGTCAAAGTCACACAAGATTTTGGAACTTGTAGATTAAAGATGAATTAAAATGTTTGATAACAATGCTGGAAAACATTTTTCGAAATAATAATTTTAATTTAATTTAAAAGTAAAATATGCGTTTCTTTTTCCTTTCAGTATATTTTTCCAGATCTGCTGAAAAGCACGTATGTTTGTGATTTGAAAAACGATGTTGCAACATACTAAAAGAAATTGTTAACAAACTGTCGATGGATATATTCGGAATATAGATTTATGTTAAGTTTCAATGGCCATACACGAGCATTTGTTAGATCATAGCAAAATACGTCTGACTCTTATATTTTTTTGTCTGTACCTTTGCACACAGGTAGAAGTAACTAGGCTACGACCGGTGTCAATTTCAGCGAAAGAGCACAAAAGAATGGTAATGAACTGAGGTGGAGGGGACTCCCCAATAATATGTAAAATGAACGTTACCGAAGTGACGAGACATAGTTGATGACAAATAACCTTTTTTGTTACATTATAATTTCTTAAATTACTGCCTTAAAACGCTTCATTGAAATGATTTTTATGTCAATAATTGCTTTTTTTCTCAGTATTTTCTTATTACTTATTTACATATTATTACAAGCTTGAAATGTACGTACCTACTCATATTCTGAGCAATCGTATCTTTATAGTGGTGATTGTGACATATAACACAATGCGATTATATAGAGAATCTTTTTGGAATGAACTGAAACAAAACGATGAATTTTTAGATTAATTTTAAGCTTTTTATTAAACAGAAATTTATCTTGAAATGTACGTTACATTTACGCAGTTTTCTAAATCGGCATGGATATATACTGAAAGGAAAAAGAAACGCAGGGTAAATTTTTGAGGTGAATTAAATTTGTTTTTCTTAAAATATGTTTTAGTTTTCCTATCTAACTTTTAAAATCATCTTTCAAAAAGATATAACCAAATTCCCATTTCATTTTGTCTAATAATTCATGAGTTATTGAAGCTCATATGACGATACCCCCCAAAAGTGAAAATCGAAAACTCTCATTATCTTCAATGTCTCTCCCGTGCATCTGTCGGAGTCTTATTTCTTTTCTGCATGGAATTTCATCAGAGTGTTTATCTTTCAAATCCTGGCTATAGTTGGCATAAGTAACCACGCAAAAAGATCAGTCAAATTGCGTGCGCATGCGCCAGTGAGAGGAATACAATAGTAAGTTGACTGGCTCAAAAAACCAAATTGCGGAATTGTTTTCTTTTAAATTTCGTATGAATGTAATGATTATAATCGTCTACTGTATAAACGGCTGTTTTTGTGGTAGTAAGGTGGCGATTTAAGAGATGGCAGGACGAATAACCCGCTCGTAACATGGCTCTGTTTCGCGTTAACGTCATCGTCACGGTTGATTAAAAACCATGCCAGACCCTCTCTGACAACGGGTAACAAGTTTTATTAGGGAAAATTTACAAAAAACTGCTTAGTAAACCTTTGTTGCCTTTTTCATTAATTGGGCAATTCGAAAACAAGACCCTATTGGACTTCCGTAAACTGTACAAAGATTGCAAGAATTCCATAATGTCTCTTAATATTGAAAAACGATGTGCATACCTCATATGCACAAATAATGCAACAAGACTTGTTGGAAAACTCGTCGTTATCAAATTGCACGTGATTTGGGCTTTTTAGCGTTTTCACTACGTGACGTCATAAATTTTACGGTTGAGTAATTCTGAATACTGATTTTGGTGCACAGTAACCAAATTTCTCTTCTGACCAATTTTCATAATTTTCGGTCATGTGGTCAAAATTTTTTCGAAGATTATGCTTCCCTGCGTTTCTTTTTCCTTTCAGTATATGTTAAAAAGACAGTAACTACAAAATTGAATTTTACTACATGTACATGTTAGGTTCCAGTATCTATAGAAAATGACAAGATTCCAAACTGATCGCTCTAAACAAAACAGAGAGAGAAATTTAAAGCATATATTTAAAAAATGTTTTTATACATCTGGATCAAAAAGTAACCCTTGTTTTTTGAAAGGAAAAATCAAACGCACGTTCGTATGCCGAGAAAATATGTTGCTGACAGAGTTGGTAGGATGTGCTGGTGTCAAGATGAGATATTCCAATTGTGATTTGAATGACTACATCTTTTTTTACATATCTTTTTGGACATTGAAGAAAGAGTAACGTACATTTCAAGCTACATTTCTGAATAAAATCACCCTCTACTTTATCGTCTTGTCATTATTCCATGTTTTATAATTTGATGAAAAAAAATCTGGAAACAAAATCTTCAGATACTTTCTTTCAAAGGTAATTGATAGAAAAATTGTTATCTTGAACTTCATTTTTTAAAAAATCAGAGAGGCATTTGTGCCCTTATATTGAGAATGGGTGATATATCACTTCATAGTCATACAAAAAAAATACATGGAATCGTTTGGTATTTTATATTAGTACATTGTATGTAGTATATGCATTTAATTTTGAACTTGTTCATAATAAATGTGATCTTAAAATATTTTCTTATTCAACAAAGGGCAGAATGAGAGTTGAGTATACGCTTTGCCCGTGGTTTTCATTTTAGAAGCATCTAAAACTGTCTGGTATTTTGTTTGCAGACGACTTACCTTGGTGTCGCATATTTTTTGTGGACTATCCTGAGTCAGATCCCAGACCGACATGATGTGATAGTTGTTCTCATCAACAGCTACCAGATGATTACCGCCATCCTGTTAACAACAGTCAAATAGGTCTAAAAGTCTTAAAGATCATAGATTTTGATAATATCATGTCAAATATATGTACGAATGTGGATTATGTTACTGTTGAAAGCTCGAAAATCACAAGAAAACAATATAAAAATCCTGCATTACCAGTTTGGAGAAGGATAGACAGCACACCGCCTTGTCAAACTCCCCAATCCCAAGAACATGGAGTGTCTCCAGTGTAGACGAATCCCAGATCCTAACGTGGGGCTGTTAATTAATTATTAAAGTAACTGACCACATTTTATATGCTCATCATACATACGTATTAGAACCATACCCTTCATCAGTCGCAAAAAAAGAAAAGTTTACAAATTATAAAAGCATACCCAGAGTATATTAAAATGATGAAAATTTTAAAAAGGACATGTTAATACAAAAGACCTGGCCCCAAAACCATAAACTGAAAATAGACTTAAGTCAAAATTTTGATTTTTAATCTCTTCAGTACAGTTCGATGTATTAGCCTAAAAGTTTGCAACTGTGCAAAATACATCAATTGAAACAAATGTTGAAAATTTTATTTTGATATCGAAATTATTTTGAAAGTTATATCGATTTGAAATTTTGAGTTAAGTCTGTTCTCCGTTTATGGTTTTGGGGCCAGAAGAGGCGCGTAGCATCGGGGGTAGGGGGCGTTCCCCTTTTTCCCTTTTTTTCCAGACAAAACTTTTAACTATAGAAAATGGTCATCGAAAGTCTGATTGCAGTCTAGTTAAATAAGTGTACTTTGTTTGAGACTGAAAGAAGCTGGAACCTAACCCCCACCCCGAAATAATTTTAAGATTTTCGAGCTTGGGTAATTAAGTTTCTCGGGTTTTCTTTGGTTGTCCCCTCCCCCTTCCCCACCCCCTATTTTTCAAAAGCGAAGCTATGTCACTGCAGGACTAGAAGCAAACATTTTTAAAACACTCTACTTACAAGACTTGCTGACTCCTGAATGGACAATGGTATGAAAATCAATAAATATATTCAATTGTTACGATTTGGGTAATAACGTCTGAACACATATTTGGGTGGTACTTTTACATGCCATCCAATGAATTGTAGTTCTTACTTGTCTTTAACATATATTTGTCTTATATATATATATACAAGTATTAATCAAATGTTGAAAAAAAAACAACATACCATTGATGCAACGTAAGAATTTTCATAGATGTACAATTAAATTTTATAAAATAGGATTAAATAATACTTGTTCGCAAAGCACCGTATATTACGTGGTTCAAAATGAGCATAATGAGAAAATAATTCAATATGTTATACACTTATTTTTAATAATTTTTTTATCCTTAATCATTGATTAATTTTTTTATTACAGAGGTTAGAGATATTTTCCTTTAAATTGAAATCCATTAGAGCGCAACGCTAGCTGCAGATCTGTAGATCTCCGAAAAAAAAAATTGATAGACCGGAGAGCTACAGTGCCACCCATTGAAAAAACTGTATATTTATTGCGCACAAAAAATTGCGCCCGGTTGTTGATTAATTCTTCCAAATTCTTACCTAAATTGCATAAAATGGAAGATTTCAAAAAAATCCTCTCTACTCTATCAAGTACTTTCGTTGTTGACATATAAACGAAGCATATTGGACCGAATTATCTTTGAAACCAAAATGAAAGTATGAATAAGCGCAATGTTCGATAATTGCAATATCAGGGCCAGGAGGACTATTAACGATAATTATAAGGAATGTTTTGTTGTGGAATGAGTCAAAGAATATGTAAGGAACACACGGTTAGTAATATTTTGAGATTCCAGTTTAAAAACATGGAGAAATAAACCGAGAACCGAGCGCACTTTTTTGTGCGCAATAAATATACAGTTTTTTCAATGGGTGGCACTGTAGCTCTCCGGTCTATCAATTTTTTTTAGGAGAGCTACAGATCTGCAGCTAAGCGCAACGCCTACATTTTCCTTTAAATTGAAATCCATTAGAGAGCAACGCCTACATTTTCCTTTAAATTGAAATCCATTAGAGCGCAACGCCTACATTTTCCTTTAAATTGAAATCCATTAGAGCGCAACGCCTACATTTTCCTTTAAATTGAAATCCATTAGAGCGCAACGCCTACATTTTCCTTTAAATTGAAATCCATTAGAGCGCAACGCCTACCTTGCCTTCTTCAGCGTCATGCCCCGCCACCTGCCCAGTGGCCACTCGGACCTGGTCAGGATGAATAGCCAGGCTGAAAAATAATCTCTGGGACATTGAAATGATTTACATAATTATAGACACACCCCCCCCCCCCCCCCAAAAGCAAACAAATTCGTCTGTGAACAAATTTACAATAATTCTTTAAATCAAAATTCATGTTATATGATTGTTAATAAGCTATTTGTTTGTTTTAACTTAAAAAATCTAGATATTAACTTTTTATCCACTACTCACACACTCACCACTTGACGTCATCAGTGTGCCCTATATAATGTCTCTGGGCGTTCTCCTCGATGTTCTGGAGGACGACCGTGGCGGCGGCGAAGTAGATGATTTCCCCGCTGGGGAGGTAATACAGGTTAGAGCGGCAGTCTTTACCACGGTATCCATAGCTTTTAGTTTTAAGGAAATCTCTTCTTTACCAAATTTGTTCAGACATTTTTTTTCCAATTTGATAATAGTAAATACTGTGAATCACTTTTTTTTTGCGATATCTTTATTTTCACGAAATTATGCGAGTCTGTCTGCTCGTTAAATTACATTCTCGCATACAAGTATATCTGTTTATAGGATTATATTCAACCAAAACCATAGCCCACAGAAATTTTGCTTATTTTTAAAAATTTATACCAATTGGCTATCTCGCGAAAATAAGGTGTCGTGAAAATATAGTGATGTGCATGATCAAATACAGGAAAGGGAGTTTAAATTTTTCTACCTCTACTAATATCATAATTTATTAATCTATTTGACAAGGGGGGGGGTCTACAAAAACCTTTAAAGTCGTTGCGAACATTACTTGATGTAAAATCGAAATATACAGTACCTGCGCAAAAAAATGTCAAAAAGTAGACTGTTTATTGTGTACGAAAGCCTATTAGGATTAATCTAGAGAAAACAAATTAAAAGGCGTTATAACGACTTTCTAAAAGGCGTAATAACGCGAAAAAAGGCGTTTTAACGCCTTTCGATTCCAAAAGGCGTTATTATGCCTTTCCATTCTAAAAGGCGTTATTACGCCTTTCCAAAAGGCTTTATTTTGAATACATGACTATAATACATATTTAGCCCAACCGAGGGGTGGTGCAGAATTCTTACCTTTTGGACCTGAATTTTACAATTTGATATAGGACTAATTTCTCCAAAAAATATTTAAACAGATAACAATTAGATTTCCAGGAAAAAAGATTTTTAAATGCGTCATATATTTTCAATGTTGAACCAACTAAGTCCTTCTTTAATACCAGACACACCTCTACCAAGGATCATTGATTTCAATTGCTCATTTTACCTATGCAAATAGTTTGCCTGCTTTTTTCCAAGAAGTGAAGAGTAAAAAAAATGACATGAATTTTAATCCATGGCAAGCAAAGCTCCAAGATACATCTGTCTATATCGTATCTTCACAAGTAGTGTTGCCTTCTCTAAATACGAATGCAAAAAGTTGTCAGTGTGATGTGCAGGAATATAGAGAATTGCAAAAATAAAGATGGTTTTAATTAGATATTTCAAATATTTATTAACATAAAATAACACCTTTCCATTTTCCATTTTCCTTTTCAAGTAGGTCAGTAGTAAGAGTGCGAATGTGGTACCCCCCACCCCCCAATCACACATACACACTTTTGGGTAAAAGTCTTCAGTGCTATACAGAATAAATATTATAATTAATTATTGGGTGCTTGGTTCCTGAATATTTTGTTGCAGTGAGTAAAACTGTGGCAAATTATTGCATTTAAACAAAGTTTGACTGAGAAGTCCCCCCTCGAGTTTGGCCAGTAGAGTGGGGGTGGTGGTGGGGGGGGGGGGGGGGGGGGGTAAGAGCACAGGCCTGTTAAATGCAAAATAATGGTTATTCAAAAAGCGTTATAACCTCTTTGGAAAGGCGTAATAACGCCTTTTAGAAAGGCGTAATGCCATTTGGAAGGCGTAATAACGCCTTTTAGAATGGAAAGGCGTGATAACGCTTTTTAAAAAGGCGTAATAACGCCTTTAGAATGGAAAGGCGTAATAACGCCTTTTCAAAGGCGTTATAAACGCCCTTTTTTGCGTTATTACGCCTTTTTTTCTAGATTGATCCTAATGGGCTTTCGTAATTGTGTTAACTTTAAAAACAAAATACTTTTTTAATATTCAATTTTCTTGGACATGTGAAAAATTTTGTGTTGAAAACAAGCAAAATGTGCTACATTAAGAAATTTAAAATCTCATTAATCCCATACTAAGTAATCCTTTTGTGAATTAAATAGTTCTACTTTTAACCTAGCAGAGTCGCGCTTTTTATTTTGCCTTTAAATAATACTGATGAACTGATTATTACTATGCACGTACATGTATTTTGAATTTTAACAATCGTCACCTAGTCATTCAAAACAAGAAGTTTTATCTGTTTGTTTTATAAATAAGGAAGAAACAAAAGTACCCGTAAATTTTTTTTAGAGTCAGAGTATATACTGTACATAACAAAAAGGATGAGAAAATTTTGAGACGCTTCCACTTGGTGGAAGTGGGTTACAAATTTTATACCTATGCTCACCGGCAATCAGGGTTATTGAATATTGAGGGATTTTTTTCGTGCCAGGACTTATTGCTTCAACCGGTTTTTACGGAGTGAAAGGCCCCCGCGTTCCGCAGTGGAATTTGAACTCGCGACGAAGATCAATTGCACACTCCCCGACTCTAGAGCAAACGTACTAACCACTGGGCCACGCGAGTGACCAAAGCAAAATATATAAGTGCAGCAAATAATAAAGATTCCCCGACATTAAGACCCATTACTCGTGGTTAGTTAAGGATACACCCACTCCAGTTGTAGACTTTCAGAAGGTGGATCAGAAGTTGTTTCCTCCACAGTAGTGGGGGCGTACAGATAAATAGGTCTGCCCTTCAGGTAGATTTTCACATCTCCTGATGACAACGAAAATAATCATACAGAATCTTGTTTGTTAATTAATATTTTACACAGTGACATAAATATCATAACAGGTCTTCATTTTGCGATGATGGAGCATTGAACACGATCAGAATTTTTATTTGGCATTTTGTTCTTCGTTAAAAATGTATTAATTTACATAGGTTATTCATTTTAAACAGCATTCATTTTAAAATCTATCTATCATTCATTTCATAAATTTATTCATAAATACCTGCGTTTTCTTCGCCTCTGTAAATAAACAAAGAAAATATAAAACAATTTGTCAGAAACAAAAGGTCCCGATATTGAAAAACGTTATTTCAACGTAGAAAAATTATGTATATTCCTCAAAACAAAACAAAAATTCACTGTTGTTATATATCTAAATAATTATGCTATAAACTTCAAATTTAAATTGCAATTAACACGTTACACATCCTTCTTTTTTGAAAGCTTTCAGATGTGCAAACAGACTACCCCCCCCCCCCCCCCTCGGCCCAAATATAATTTTTCTAAAGTTAGTGGCAAGGCTTTGTATGGGTATCTTCTTGAAAAAGACAGAACTAATATATTTTATATGTCGGGAAAATAAATTAATCAGCAAGGATAAAAGACATTGTTCAATAAATGTAGATGCACGTGTAACATCCAGATAACCTAGAAATACTAGTGAAATCAGATTTTTACTCCAGAGCTGCAACGTGCATCAACATATTAGAATAAAATACAAATCCATGTACTATTAATGAAAGTTTTATACTTACTCCATTTCCTGTGTTGAAATGCTGATTGATAAATGCTCTAAAGCATACAAAAAATCGGACTCAAACGTAAATACCGCTCTTATAATAATTCCACTACAATGGAGTTTTCATGTAATGGGAAATTAAAGTGTAGAGGATTTGCATGTTCAATGTCTTTAAATATAGGGTATAAAAATTTTGCACGCTCGAATGCAAATCAGTCTGAAGGACATACGCAAGGTACCTTACCTACTGATAATTTTTCTAGATATCATTAATTTAAGATCATAGTGCCATCAGATGTTCATAGCCAAAAATCAGAATGCATTACCAGGGGTTTTTGAAAGATATCAAATTATGAAAATGTTTGCATTATTCAAAGAAAAATATACCAAAATTACAAAATATAAATTCCAGATTTTTACCTATCAAAATTTGTTTTAGAAGAGGTGGACAAACCCATAAATACTAGTAGAGTGACATTAAAAGTATTGTACACAGGCCCTTCATTTTGTGGAACTCTTCAACTCCAGGGAAAAACCCTATTAAGTTAAAACTACTTTGCGTATGACCTAAAGTCAATTATAGGATAACTTTGTCGGGAATTTTTTTTAATACAAAATTAATTACATTAATTGTTTATTCGTTTAAGATGATAAAATACATGTACTCTCCTTTTGGCTACACAGGATTGTTGTCCTTGTTGTAGTTAGTGAATAAACATGTTGTCTTTTTTACAAATGTGTATTATTTTTACAAATTGTGTACTGTATTACTTTTACAAATGTGTATTACTTTTACAAATATGTACAACTTCGTTTAATTTTTGAAAATGTTTTCTCATAACTATTAATTTTGTTTGACATGGGAAGACATATTTCACATTTTTGGTACAATCATTTTGCATATAGTCGTAATGCAAGAAGTATGCATTTCTTAAGCATTCTGCATTAGCAGACTATCATAAAATACAATGATCCCCCTATGAGAAAATTTTCATCTACCCAACTCAATAAAAACTTAACATGTATACTGCTATGTATGCTGCGTTTATTTTTTTATTTTGAGAACTCCAACTCCTTATATATATACCTGTATATATATATCCAACGGCCCAAATGCATATTATTTGGCCTATTTTTGGATTGGTACATCTCTGTGTTAATCCATGAATCACTTTTTTAAGTTAAATATCCAAACTTGTCAATGTTCAAAATATATAGGTTGGAGATTATCAAGTTATTACCCCCCCCCCACTCCAACCCTCTTTAAAAAAACAAGAAACTAAAGAAAGTCACTGTGACTGCTTTAAAGACAACACATTACAGTCATGTTGCGTATTCTCGAAAGGGCCAATGTTGAAAAGGAAATTTTATTATGACAATTTAGTGATAGAAAATATGAAAGAATTTAAATATTTAAGCGTTGTTTTCTCACGTACGGGTTCATTTTGTAAAAAAAAAAAACAAAAAAAAAATCTAGCTGTATAAACGTAAATACCGCTCTTATAATAATTCCACTACAATGGAGTTTTCATGTAATGGGAAATTAAAGTGTAGAGGATTTGCATGTTCAATGTCTTTAAATATAGGGTATAAAAATTTTGCACGCTCGAATGCAAATCAGTCTGAAGGACATACGCAAGGTACCTTACCTACTGATAATTTTTCTAGATATCATTAATTTAAGATCATAGTGCCATCAGATGTTCATAGCCAAAAATCAGAATGCATTACCAGGGGTTTTTGAAAGATATCAAATTATGAAAATGTTTGCATTATTCAAAGAAAAATATACCAAAATTACAAAATATAAATTCCAGATTTTTACCTATCAAAATTTGTTTTAGAAGAGGTGGACAAACCCATAAATACTAGTAGAGTGACATTAAAAGTATTGTACACAGGCCCTTCATTTTGTGGAACTCTTCAACTCCAGGGAAAAACCCTATTAAGTTAAAACTACTTTGCGTATGACCTAAAGTCAATTATAGGATAACTTTGTCGGGAATTTTTTTTAATACAAAATTAATTACATTAATTGTTTATTCGTTTAAGATGATAAAATACATGTACTCTCCTTTTGGCTACACAGGATTGTTGTCCTTGTTGTAGTTAGTGAATAAATATGTTGTCTTTTTTACAAATGTGTATTATTTTTACAAATTGTGTACTGTATTACTTTTACAAATGTGTATTACTTTTACAAATATGTACAACTTCGTTTAATTTTTGAAAATGTTTTCTCATAACTATTAATTTTGTTTGACATGGGAAGACATTTTTCACATTTTTGGTACAATCATTTTGCATATAGTCGTAATGCAAGAAGTATGCATTTCTTAAGCATTCTGCATTAGCAGACTATCATAAAATACAATGATCCCCCTATGAGAAAATTTTCATCTACCCAACTCAATAAAAACTTAACATGTATACTGCTATGTATGCTGCGTTTATTTTTTTATTTTGAGAACTCCAACTCCTTATATATATATATATATATATCCAACGGCCCAAATGCATATTATTTGGCCTATTTTTGGATTGGCACATCTCTGTGTTAATCCATGAATCACTTTTTTAAGTTAAATATCCAAACTTGTCAATGTTCAAAATATATAGGTTGGAGATTATCAAGTTATTACCCCCCCCCCCCCACTCCAACCCTCTTTAAAAAAACAAAAAACTAAAGAAAGTCACTGTGACTGCTTTAAAGACAACACATTACAGTCATGTTGCGTATTCTCGAAAGGGCCAATGTTGAAAAGGAAATTTTATTATGACAATTTAGTGATAGAAAATATGAAAGAATTTAAATATTTAAGCGTTGTTTTCTCACGTACGGGTTCATTTTGTAAAAAAAAAAACAAAAAAAAAATCTAGCTGTATGAACAAGCACAAAAAGCTATGTATGGCATTATCAGAAAAATCAGACAATTAAAATTACCAGTCGACTGCCAATTTGATCTCTTTGATAAAGTTGTCGTTCCAGTTTTGTTGTATGGCTCTGAAGTATGGGGTTATGAAAATCTAGATGTTACTGAACGTTTACATTTGAAATTCCTAAAGCATGTATTTTTTTTAAATTTAAAAAGTTCCACGCCATCATACATGGTTTATGTTGAAAAGGTCGTTTTCCTCTTTATATTTCAATATAAAGTAGAATGATTTCTTACTGGGGAAAACTTTTTTTCAGGTCCGCAAATCCTTGACTAAACTGTATACAGAAAATCGGTAACATGACTGTGTGGCTTATCAAATGTTTAGAACCAACAAGGTGTTAATATTAATTATGAATGGATAAGTGCTACTGTTAAGCATATACTACAAGATCAATTTATTATACCCCCCGCTTGAAAAGTGGGAGGGTATACTGTAATCGGTACGTCCTTCCGTCCGTCCGTACGTCTGTCTAGCTGTATGTTCGTCTGTCTGTTATGTTTTGGGGTACTCATTTGGTTCAGTGATATAATAATTCCTAAAAAAAAAAAACAAAATTACCGAATCTTGTAACAAAACGTTGGATTTGAAAACTATCTTTGTAAATTATCCCCTAAATTAAGAAAAATTCTACTAAAATTTCGCACAGAGATGTAATACATTGTTCTGGATATGGTTTACATCAGAGGCGAGAAAAAAAGAGTACAGAAGTGAAATTACACTAGCTTTTAATGAAGAAGTTGTTTGTAAGTAGTATGATATTCTATAAATAGTTTTTTCTCTATATCGAAAATAGTTGCCGCATGTAAGAAGTAGCGTACTGATTGTTAAACGCAGGCCGACTATTTAATTGTTAAACCATGAGATTGAGTAAGTAGATCATTGTGACCTATTTTTTAAATGACACTTCTTGGAGTCTTTCATTACTTTAAATGGTCGGTTAGATTATTTGAGACTTCAAAAAATCCATTTAAAAAAGAATAAGAAAGAATAGCTGAGAAATATAAAAAAAAATGTCACTGTGAGATGAACCATATATGAAGTGCCGACAACCCTAAACCTCTTACTGTTAAAATTATTAAGCTATATTGTCTTTTTCAAAATGATTTAGTTAAAAAGTAGGTCCCTGCACAACTTCTTTTTGGCTGTACACACTGTTAACAAAACATCCTTTGGTTTACAAAGAACTGCAATAGTAGAATTTTAATAGTCAATTGTGCCCTGAATCTATGTTGTTCAGTAACAGTTATTAAAGCTGAAAACTACTCTAAATAGGCATAGACCGCCACATTTTCCGTTGTTCAACTCTCTCCCTACAACCCGAATATAAGGAGCAGATCGCTAATCAGTTCAATGTATTTCACTGTCGAGATGCGGCGAGTGAAGACGTACATCTTGCACTGCGTGCTACTCAATCTCAACGAAATTATCAAATTTCTATGCATTTTTTCCAAAACAGGACAAAAGTATCATGAAAAATACAGGTCAATACATTATTTACAAACAGAAAATGCACATAAAAACAAGAAATAAATGTAAAAAATCTAAGACCTCGAAAGGAGTAACACATGTCAGCCCTGAGTTTGGAGTGTGCAATCAGGTGTAATGAAATTGAACGGTTTATATACCCGCCTGGCACTGCCTATTTAAGTAAAGTGCTTAGCTTTGATTCAAAGTGTTGGCTGGCAGTGAATAAATAAACACACTGAATGATGATACAAATGAATTATTTTATTAAAGGTGTATATAGGAATAAAGGAAAAAAAAATTGTCTTACATATTATAACTACAGGTATATAAAACTTTTGAAAACTTTAAACAATTTTCTACAAATTCCATCAATTTCGTTAATGAAATCCTTTTCTGCAATCAACATAATAGACATCTGTATGAAATTTTTATCTTAGCCACTGGTAACAGTTACTAAAGAAAGATATTAACTAAACAAAATCAGTGGAATGGCAATACTATATGCCTTATGTATAAATAAATTCTATTGCACATTTACTTAGAAGCACTACACATAAAAGACAATTTAACACTTCCTTTATTTCAAAATCAGTGTCAAAGAAACAAGGAAAAGCATTTGATGAAAATTAAACTGGTCCACACAATAACATTGAAAAGTAAGTACTTTTTTCTTTAAATCAAACACTGAAAATTACAGAAGGGTACACCGTACTCCACAATTTTTTTTTCATTGTGTAACTATTTGAGCAACTCATAGAAATTCTAACCTATCCAGTAATAAATATAACAAACTGTATTCTGGTTTGATCAGATGCAAATATATGAAAGTGAACACCATGAACCAATGCACCAACACTGAATTTACATAAAACTATTCACTAACCAAAGTTATATTATTCTTGTAAATTGAGTATACATACATTATACTATTACTTTTAAAATTCACTCCCACACATAAATATGCTTACTAAATTGAAAAATACTGAAAGTCTATTCCTTAAAGCTTCATCTCTACCAAATCCAAACCCTGTATGTTCATTAAAAAAAATCTTCAACTGCTTTGAATATCATATCTTAAACAATCAAGCTAAACATGATAAAGATATGAAAACACGAAAAAAAAAAACTGTACAAAAAACAATATACAAGAAAAATTTGTTAACTATAAATATAATGGTACAAAGAGTAGAAAAAGTGTTCATACATTACTACACATTGTATATAACAAAATATAACAATCATATTGTCTCAGACATTCAACAACTATGTATAATGCCTATCAGGTATAACTATTCGGCTTGACTACTTAGACGACCTGCCACTGCATGATAGACATGTCTCGCCCGCCCGTGGACAGTAAGCGTGAGTCATCAAACAGGAAGCTGACGTTAGTCACATGACTGCTGTGTCCATTGTAGCAATGCTTCTTTGCCTGTCAAAAACCATGAAATACAAGTAGATCAGATACAGTTTCCTTCAAAAGAGGTATACAGTAAAACTTGTCTAATTCTGATGTCAATAATGTCATAAAAATCATCAGATTAAACAAGATTGTAGAGTAGACAACACAATTAAATTGATGAAATGGGACTAGAAGATTTCAGTATAAAAGGCCTGCTTTCAGAAATAATTTTTTTTTCTTTTCTATAAATTCTAATTAAGGTTTGATTGGCCATCCCTTTCTGATTCCACCTACCCTAGGATGATAACAGGGGTATTGATAGAGGTTCACTTTTCCAAAGTCATCAGCGCTGGCCAGAACTTTACCATTGTTTGATCTACAGACATTGTTTACATCAGTTCCATCTGCACCTTCTGGCCACACTCCTGAAAATTTCATAGATTACATTATACATATGATGCAGCTTGTTCATCAAACTATAGTAAAATTTGGTTATGAAAAACTCACTAATAAGGCCATGCAAAGTCAAGGGCGGATTCAGGGGGGTTTGGGGGGGTTCAGGAAAACCCCCCCGCTCATCGATTTTTTTTTTTTTTTACAAGTGTCATTTTATCATTTTGTTGCATTGATAAGACTCTAATAAACATAAACCCTTGTTTGTACAACTGTGAAATATACATCCACTATGTAACAGCAGGGACCTATATACTAACGGGATAGGCAACTACCGCAAATCTCGCGATATCTCGTAAGTCGCGGGATTTCGTAAGTCAACTTTAATTAACTATATTTCTAACGCTATCGCATATTTGAGATCAAAACCATTAATTATCTGTCAAAAAATCACTCAAGATTTGTTTTAATCACGTATTATACTCCTTATCTTAGTAGTAATTTTGTTTTATGCAAAATCAGCACATGCCCCGATCGGCCATATTTCCGAGAAATCGCCGATTTCGGTCTTTCTTTTCTTTATATTTAAATTATATTATTATCGTCATTTAAAATTTATTAATAAATCAATTCCAATACATAAAAGGAATAAATGATAATAATCAGAAAACATCCTGTTTACTGGGAATAAATGTTAATTGAAAAATTCGTAATGTCTTGCGTGATGTTTTGGGTATAAAAACATGGCGATGAAGGAGTTGCCTATCCCTTTAGTATATAGGTCCCTGGTAACAGGAAATCACTTTGCGCTTGAACGCACACAATACACAGGTAATCAACAGAGACATTGCCTCAGACATAGGGTAGTCTGTGCATCTAGTGAAGTCACAAGGTCACAGTACAATGGAATCAGGTATCAACAATAGAAAACTGCAAAGTTACGGTGCTGCTCAGTAATATTCTTTTGCTGATAAAGTGCATGTTTTTTAAACTATAAGAATAAACTATTATTCGGGGGGGGGGGGGGGGTTACCGTTTTAAAATTAAATTAATATAATTTTTTTTTTACAAAACCAGGTTGGCTTAGCAAACCCCTCTAGTTTTGACAGATTCTCCAGTTTATGTAAATTTTTTCTTCAGTTAAGACAGTTTGAAATTTCATTAATTGTATACGTGTGTTTATATTCCAAATCATATTGACAGTATATACTCAAGTAAGTTGAAAAGCACAAGTTAGGGATTCTGAAAAGAATTCAATTTTGAATTTTTTTAGTGTTTAAAAATTTTGCACATTAGTTGTGTCTTGGAAGTCAGCTTGACATATAGGACTAAATTAATTGTAGGTGCATTTAAAGTAAAGACAACTTGAAGTCAACTGCTTGCATTCCTAAAATTGTCAGATTTAACATTTTTTTAAAGCAAAGTCTAAAGTCTTGTGTTAAAGTTAATTAAATTGAAAACATTTTATTAAAAATTTGTGATGATCGGTCTTTAAGAAAGCTACAAAAAGTACCCCCAAAATGCTGGAAAATGCACCATTTAGAACCATTTAAAACAAAATTTTCTCGGGGGAACCCCCACCTATGGGAGGGGGACACCCCCTCCCATGCCCTCCCCCTTCGGCCCTTTGGGCCTCAAAACCCCCCCACATGAACTTCTGGATCCGCCACTGAAAGTAATTACTTGGTTCTCAGGCCTTTTTTCAAGAAATATGATGAGGGAGGGAGGCATTTTTTTTTCTTTTTTATTGCCCCCAAAACATGATGAGGCAGCTTTTTACATTGTACAAAACCTCAAAAAATGATGAGGGAGGTGATTTGGTGTTTATATTTTATTGATTTAGCAATAAAAAGGGTCAATGAGGCACCCTTGGAAGAGATGAGGGAGGGCCTGAGAACCAAGAAATTAATTTTTTTTTGCCTAAGGAAATTTTAATTACAAGAAACTTTTTTTTATAAGTTCCACAGAAGACTTTTCAATATGAATCTTATCTGGATATAAAGAACCTTGGTTATAATGACTTCCTGTTGACAAAAATTAAACTGTATTGCAAGAAAAGAACAAATATAAAACAAAAAATTTTTCACTGCAATCTTTGTTGCAGTAAAAAGACAAATATTAAATCACTGCAATTGTAAGACATGGCATTAAATAACCCCTCCCCCCTCAACTCTGGTCCAAGTGGGTAACTGTTGAAAGATATTTCATATGACATCATAAATACCTGCAGCATTGAAGGTTAAGGTACAATTTCCAGAGGCCCATTCTAAATCCCTGACAGCAGAAATAGAAGTCTCTTGTTTACAAGCTGGAATCTTCCCTGCAGGAAAAAATTTGAAAATTTAAGATGAAAGTCAAAGTGGATTAAAAACTCTTAAATGCATGAACCTTATTTTTCTAAATGTCTTCCCCTCAGATGGGACATGACATATCATCTGATTTCATCTGATTAATTGCAGATCTCATTTACTTGAAAACATTTTTTTGTGATAGGTTGATGACAGACAAATCCTAACATGTGATACGAGATCTCTAAATGATTGGAGCTGATAAGAAATCACTTACAGTACAGAACTTCATAGTCTCCTGAGTTACTGCACAAATACACACTGTCACTGGACCAGTCTATGTGGGTCACAAAGCTGCTGTGTCCCTGGTCAGAAAGAAACACAAGATGATATTATAAACAATCTGTATAGTTCAAATACAATAAGACAATATTTTTTCATAGAGTAGACAGGTATATAAAAAAAATTGCAAAAATGTACATAATTTTCTGATATGCAAGACATTCTTTCTCTGACAAATGGTACATTAACTAACTCTGTTCTTGGAGAGTATTGCATTTTCTGGGAAACTAGCTAAATGGTTACAGAGCATTAAAAAAAATTTTAAAAGATAAAGTAAAATTTCTTACAGTGCATCTTCCAATTCTGGAGTATTTTTTCCCGTCTTCAGTCACATCATAAATGTAAATATGGTTGTCTCTAGATCCAAGGGCAAGATATTTACCATCTGTAAGCAGAATAGTAAGAACACTGATCACTAGTTATCACATAGAATGAACCTTTCATCATGGTAATTAAATTTCTATAAAATATGCATTTCTACACAAAGATAAATGTAGTGTCTTTCATAACAAAATTGGTTTTCTTGAGACAAATCAGGACTTACATCATCGGAATTTTTTTTTTCTATTTTCATACTAGTTATGAAATGATACAATTTAATCTGCTATAAAATATATATGGCTAACTATGCACTTAAATCTTTTTAACAAATGCAAGTTTATAATGACCTGGTGAGTATAGGACACACTCGATCTGCTCATTGCCGTCAGTGTGACTAGTAATGGTCTCGTGTGTCCCACAATCCAACACAAACCACTTCCCTGTCTCTGTTCCTATGGCAACCACACTTCCATCAGGGTAAAAACAGCAGCTGTGAGCTGATTCCTACCAAACAAGATATAACATACAACACCATGTTTTCTCAAAAACAGATAAATAATCTTGAATTCATACTATAAATAACTTTTTCATTTCATCTGTGTTAGGAAACTGTAACATTTGAAAATGATTCATCCCCACTGTTTAAAATTCACTCAGACAAAGACAGATTACAATACACAATTCTGTCCCTCATACTGAAAGTAACCACTGAAGATATTGAGAGGTTTGAAAATAAATATGGAACACAATTTCCCTGTAAACAGTATATTACAGTTTTCTTTATTTTTCATCATAAGCATGTCTCAAAATTGTTTGACAATTGTTATTAAATAAAATTTTCATTGATTTCATCTCCACCTCCTTCTAAGATGTTTATCCTCTCCTAAACAACAATTCCCCCCCCCCACTTTTAAAAAAAAGTGGTCAATTTGAAGACAATTCCCCTCACTTACTCCTACTTACTGAGAGTTCTTTTGACCAGATAACAGAGCGACTCATGCTGTCCCACATGTGGACCTGTTTGTCAGATCCACTGGTCAAAAACTGCTGCTGGCTGGGGTGTGAGGCAAGACCCCACAGCTCATCCATGTGACCCTAAAAAACAAAGCTTCATATTACAAGTGTGACAAACTTCAGATCTAACTCACATAACTCAGAGCATATACAATAGATATGACTGCAATATATTGCCAGTTCAACCTTAAATGATTGATATTTTTAAGTAAAAGAATTTGAAGAATAGAGGAACAAAGTATCATTTCGTTTTCATCCACAATAAAAAAGATCTTAAAATATCAGAGACAGAAAGAGTGAAAAAATCGCCATGGGTTTCCTCTCATTATATATATATATATGAGGGGTTATCAAAGAGTTCATGGACTAGCGCCATAAAACTTAAACCGCTCTAGGTAAAGCAATGAATTTCAAAATATCTAGTTAACATCATCTTTTTCATTTATAGAATAAACCACACATCATAAACTTTATTTCTTAATAAATTCGTAATGATTTTGTAAACTGTGGTATGTCTAGGTGGCGCAACCTCAAACACGTTTTTCCAACCTAAGTGTAACTGAGAAAAACTCTTTTGATATGAACATTTGACATCCAAAAATCCTGTTAATTCAGGTATGTGTTGGAACACTATTGTTCCTCAAGATATGAACTTTTACCTCATTCTGGAGGTTCTATGGAATTTTATCGTAAATTTTAAATGGAGTTTCCAGACAAATAAGGCCTTGAAAATGACATCAAGAAGGAGGAGGGATTTCCTTTTCCAACATTCTGTAAAGTTTCCGCCCCCTTAAAAAACTGGTATATACCTAGGAAATGTTTAAACTGGCTACAGAAAAATGAAATGCACCCAGAGTACTGTTTTTTAATGCCAAAATAAATTTAGAGAGAAAATGGATGCACAGTAAATGTTGACTGGTAGTCAAGGTGTGAAAAATCAATCATAAAAAAAAAAAATTTACGTTAATCATGTTGTATTGAACTCGAAAAAGCAAAATATGCTGGCACAATCAAGCAAGGATCTCTCCAATGTAAAAATTCATTTGCAGTAATATATGCATTGAAAGCCGCTGTTCATAACATTGTAAAGTCAAATAAAAAAGGCAGGTTCAAGTCCTTACAGCTCCAAAGAATCTCATCAAAATAAGTGTATGAGGTAGAAGAAGTGGACATTGAAAAAAATGACATTGTCTGACGTCATGAAACTAATGGCGACGGCGCCAGGTGATCATATAATATCGTTTTTACTCTATAATAATTTGGCAAATAATGAACGTATCAAGCTAAAATTTTTGACAGTTCTTTAATTTTTGTTGTTTTCTGTTCCTTATAAATTTTGAAAGCTTAAACTACATAGTACTTATTTTATAGCCTCAGTCCAGGATCTTTTTGATAACCCCTCGTATATTACAATATATTTAAATGAAGTAAGACCCAATAAATAGAGAGAATGATTACCTGGACTATGGGGTTGAGCTGTAGATCCACTGTTCCTTGTAAGATGCAGTTTCTGGTCGTCCCCACCAGGACCATCCCTCCCTTACCCTGGTTCAGCATCCTTACTCCTCCAAAGTTCTCTGGGATCTGTAATGAAAACCAAAATAACTCAACCTATCTCATTATCAAAATTACGATTTCTGGGTGACCTGACTTTCTATAATTAAACTACATGAATATAAGTAAAACTGAAAACTGTAGTAAAAATGTTTAGAAAACTCCAAAACCTAAAAATCTAATTAAATCTGTTTTAAGCATGTCTTTGTCAAGAAGCTGACTTAAAGACCCAATTTTTTTACCGTACTGTTACCTGAGGAGAGGGAGCGGTCAAAGTAATAGTGGTGTTATTTACCTGGAGACCCCCAATACCCAAGATGTCAAAAATCTATATACACGTAGCAGTACACAGGAAGTCTGTGTTTGGTAATCAGGGTCAACATTATGTGTTTCGTGTCTAATTTTGAGTGAAACTACTAACTTAATTTAATCTAATTATTTCAATATAAAATTTATTTGTAAACTAAACGCATTCATCGTAACCTTTGGAAGGCAAAAAAATATAAGAAATACATGTATATCGTTTATAATTTTTTTGTAAAAATAAAGAAATGGTCCCGAGTAAAAACTTCTTAAAAACTGGACTTCTTAATATTTTTTTTAATCTTCAATAAAAGAAATCACCATGATTTATTAAGCGTGAATATTTAAATCAAGATAATCCATTTATTCCTCATTTGAACACTTACCGCGATCGGAATATTTTTTTTAATTTTCTGGCACAATATTGTCTAAGATATTCAATATTTCCCAGTGTTTTGCACTAACAAAATTTTATTGTTTGAAATATTTCCTTTTAAGATCGATCACTGTTTGTTAGCTTCACCTTTTCATTACAAATATTTAGACAGATGTCAGAGAAAATTCGAGCAATAACTCCATCATTTCTTGACATCGCCTCTTAACATCGCGTAGATTGTATCCCTTACACAGAGATAAAACATAGTTTGTAAACCATGCTGTAAGTGCGGAATATTTTATATATCATATTTATTATATTCCACTTTTTTAATATAATTTTAACAGTGTTTAACGGTACATGGACTTCCAATATTACAGCAAGTAAAGTTTGAAATAGTTTCTGTTGACGGCCTTAATTCTACAGCTATCTCATACGACATATTCTTACAAATGAAGATTGAAAACAAATATTTTATTAAGTCAATCTTGAATTAAATTATCTTCCTCAATTATTTTTTTTAACCTAAAGTTACCAACATCACTGGGTTTTTTTAACCCGCGTGTATACAAAGCGGGTACATAAAAGTGTTTGACGCGTGACCAATCAATTGTCTTCAAGACATGCAAACTCAGATTATCAAGTAGCACAGGTAGCTGGCCTGTCAATCAAAGCAGAAGCTATTGTTTTTTTTAATGATTGACAGGCGGTAAATGATTGATCTTGAATCAGGTAGATTTTGGGGGCGTTAAAATAAAATTGGGTGTTTAATTACCTCTGTCTCTACTCCTGTCTTGGTGTAGGAGCTGTCATACTGTATGATCTTCCTGTCTTTTCCTCCCCCAGACAACAAAGTTCCATCCTTCATTACACACACAGAGAAAATTCCTCCTTCATGGACTCCCTCAATGGCTTTGGATATTCTGTTGTTTCCTATTTATCAATTTAAATTGAAAGTCAGTAAAATAATAGTAAGCTGTGACAACTAAAAAATCAGAATTGCGTTATTCATTGAAAAATCTCCTTTTCTGCAGTAGCTGGTATAAAATATATGTGTTGTTTATCTAGCATAAAATGAAATAACAAAATACAGCAGTGAGTTATATGTCTTTGGGTTTTTTGAGCAGTGATGGAAAAGATGTAAACCTTTTGGCCAAATAAAAATGTTTCCATTGGAGTCTCCAGATATGATGTCTCCATTTTCAGCAAATGCAACACACAACACAAACTTAGGTTTTTCATGTTTCTATATGATAAATAAAGGGAAAAAATTATGTTTTTACGCAATCATATTAGAAGTAATAAAAAAACAATTAATTTCTACAAAGCTTTGCCTATAATAGATTTTATTTCTTTTCATTATCAAGAGTCATCTCTTTGAACCCAATATAACTTTAAATGTTTACGTCAAAGATTCCTGTTTTCTTTGCCAAGGACCCTCCCTCAAACGTCCAGAATGAGATCTGTCCTTTACCACAGGTCACAATGCTGCCTTTCTCCAGGGGATGGAACTCCGCCGCCAACACAGGCTCTGTTGAGCTCTGAAAAATTAATCAGGTTGTTCTATTACTAAAACTGTTAACTTCTTATTCCATTGTAGCATTATTTTTATGCCCCTTTAATCGGAGATTCAGGGGTATATAGTTTTTGTTATGTCCTTTCGTATGTCTGTCTGTCTGTCCATAAAAACTTTATCCTTGCCCATAACTTTGGATTTAGTGGAGTTATGACTTTCATATTTCACATATGTATTCCTTGTGACAAGACCTTCTTTAGGTACCACCAAATCTGACCTTTTGACCTTGACCTTGGAGTTTGACACACTTTAACACAAAAATTCTAAACTTTTACTTTGGCCATAATTTTTGAATGGTAAATACTAGAACTTTCATACTTTACATATGTTTTTTAAGAACTTTAACCTTGGCCATAACTTTTGAAAGGTTACGGTTTGGGCTTTCATACTTCACACGTTATCCTTGTGACAAGACCTTTTTTTAAAAACCAACAACATTGACCCTTTGACCTAAACCCTGGAGTTTGACCTACCTTTCAAACATTTATCCTTGGTTATATCTTTTGTACAGGTGGTGCTAGGGCTTTCAAATTTTGCAATTGTATTTCTTGTGAAAAAACCTTACTTTGGGTACCAACATATTAAATTTGCATTTAAGAAAAGTTAAATCTTTGCCACGTTGCCATATGGGGGCATCAGTGTTTCACAAACACATCTTGTTTTTCAAGTTTCAAGTAACTATTTTAAGAGTGAGGTCAAGGAAAATGAGAAGGTCAAGGTAAAAGAAATTATGATGCATTTGATGATTTGAAAAGCACTCACCAAAATGTATAAACATATGAAGTTTGTTAAAAATCTTGAGTAGTTTGAAACTGGGTTCAGCTCAGTGTCAGATGGAATGAGGGAAGGAGAGAAAGACTGGAGAGTGACATGATAAGCACTAATTGCCCAAACCATAGGCATGATAGGGAATAAAAAACTGTTACAGCTAAATACACAGTTCTCCTCTGCTGAGCTATATTCTCAATCAATAACTCATAAACGCACTCTAGATGCTTATCTGCTAAACCCCTTGTTAGTTCTGTCAGAGGCTTTCCAGCTGATTAACCTTATGGCCAGACTAAGTGACAGCTCTCTCTCCCTGTGTTGTCACTGTGACTAACCTTGGTCTCTGTGATCTTCTTAGGGTGGGCCTTACTGAGGTCCCACACAGACAACACGTGATCGTTAGCCTCATCCACCACCACCAGGTGGTTACCGCCATCCTGTTAATGACAAAACATGGCATAAGAGAATAGACCAGACCCCTGGTCATTCACACAAAGTAATTATTGATACAATTTCTACAGATATGGATTTTTTTTTAGCTATAAATGTAGTTGTGAATTTCCTTAGATAATGAAGATGACAAGACATTCTTCAGAGATGGTATTGATTGAGATATTGATTTCTGTACAAAGGAAAATCACCAACAAACGTAACTTAATTTGTACATTTGATTTTCACTATTAATACATAGAAAAACATTTGATAAGTACATTTGCTTTATATGAAAAACAAGTGAAAACAAACTTAGAATCTCCTTTTCTGATAATTGATTAAAGATTTTATCAAAACAAGAAAACAGTTTCTCCTGTTGCATGATTTTAACTACATGTATCTCATATAACAAATTCTGCTATACTGCCTCACCAGTTTGGAGAAGGATAGACAGCAGACGGCCTTGTCAAAGTCCCCGATCCCGATCACATGGAGGGTGTTCAGGTTCATCGTGTCCCAGATCCTGACGTGGGGCTGTACAAAACAGGTGTACACAGTGTCAATACATGTAATAGGCTTTCTCCAGTAATCACTGTAATGTGTCTATACCAAGATGACATAACTATATAGTACTAATACTGAGGGGTGTAATTGTTATCAATTGATTATTCATCTACCAGGAAAGTTATTTAGCATCTGTTTATAGACTATTATTCAGGAAAACTATATTGTATATATCAAATATGTATACAAATGGAGAACAGTTTAATAGATAGGGATGGATTGTATATTGGAACAGATTGTTGTTTATTTCAATCTGTGAAATACACAAGATAATGTTCAAACTTTCCTGTGTTAGTGATGTTAATTAACTTGTTTATCTCACAAAATTTAGACCTATTGTGTTAAAATACAACAATACAAAACACACATGCAGGAGATGATTTTACAATGGTTAGTCAATTGTAACTTAAAACAGATTTTTCTTTTTTCTTACTTGCATTGGTCAAAGATTGTATAAAATAATATCAAGTATGAATAATTCTTCTCAAACTGATTTTCAACATAACTTTGTTGAAAGCTGATTGGTAAATGATGGAATATGATATAACGTCATGATTGGTTGACAAAAAACTGCAGAATATAACATGACGCATGACTGGATGATGCTAGTTTTTTTCTTACCCAATGATCTTTGTCAGCTTCAGGGATATCTTTTTTCCCAGCTTTTCTCTATTCATGCAACAAAGCATAAAAGTGAGAAAAAGAAAAAGTGATAAAATATGAACCATAGCAACAAAGGAACCCACTGAGCAAATAATTTTGTAATCTGTAGATCAGTTTCCCCTATACAATAAATGCGAATATATAAATATAAGGCTAAAGAAGGAGACCGAGTGTTAAAACTATGAATATAAATTGTATTAATGAACAACATTTAAATATTGATAAATAAGGAAAGTTGTAGATGGAACATGCATTATTATACAATTACTAATTTCATTAGCTCAATACAAACATTCATTGACCATATTAAGAAATATTCATAGAATCTGCAGAATGGTTGTATTTTATTCTTTGGGGGATCATATTCACGTTGGTGCCAAATAAGATTCAATTTAATTTATACTCCATTTAAACACAGCTAGGTCTTAAAAAATTATATGAATAAATTACAACATTAGCATAAAAATTCAGAACACATAAAACAGAAAAAATAGGGAATGGCATGCAGAGCCAATAAGGCATTTCACCAAAAGCTAAATATGTGAAAGAAAATGGAATGAGAACCATTCAGATTTAATTTCACTTGTTTTTACAATATACCAGTAATCATATTATAATTACTAGTACACAAAATACAAAAGACTTGCCGTATAAAGGTTAAGGGATACCTCATACCTTGTCAATTGGTGGGTTTGACCTTTTGACCTACCTTGCCCTCTTTCTGGTCATGGCCTGCCACCTGTCCAGTAGCCACACGGACTTGGTCAGGATGAATGGCCAGGCTACAAAACCCAAAACAATTGTGTGAAAAAAAGAAATAATCAACATGTTAAATATGTGATTACTTCTTCAATTTAAACTGCAGTATATTAATTTCAATGAAATTCTACACAGATATTAGGCCTTACTATATCCAATGAAATTTGACAATCATTATCAGAGTATGGCCCTTATTTCCATTATAATTTTATCCTTTATTTTTTACAACATCACATATCCACTCACCACTTGACATCATCAGTGTGACCCAGATAATGCCTCTGGGTGTTCTCCTCCACATTGTGGAGGACGACGGTGGCGGCGGCGAAGTAGATGATTTCCCCGGTGGAGAGGTAGTACAGGTTAGAGCGGCAGTCTCTGCCACGATATCCATAACTTGTCCCAGTCAAGGAATGTATTTTTTAAATCTAAGCTATTCACCAAATGTTTCTTAGCAAGCAGAACTTGTAATGTATCAGAGCATGAGAGGAAGCCTTACAGTTGCCCAACCCCCCCCCCTTGAAATTGTTTTCCATTAATAGACTAAAAATTTCCTATTTTGAATACTTTTTAAGTACCAAAAACTTTTAACACTGAAAAATGTATATTGATTACTTGTTTTGTGTTCCTGATATAGCACTTTAACTTAAAGGTCATTAGTGTGCTATACACTTTCTTAAAAATTTAATTATAAATTCCTAGGTGATGCAACAAACATTATTATCATTCAGAATTATACAGTCAATCTGATTGGTTAAGAGCATGAGGTGAGACAATTCGTGATGTCTCCCTCACACGCAGGGTGACAACTGTTGTCACCCTTCAGATGACAATGAAATAGCTTAAGCGAGCATGCACAGCTAAAACTGTTTTGTCGCCCTTTTAATGAAATTATAGTGGTTTAAGCGAGATAACTCTTAACTCTTGAACTATTGCTAAATATGCAGGATAGGTAAACAAAAAATTCTAATGATGACGTCAAAGTTGTCTGTTGACATATTTTGAAAGTATGGAATCAGAGCAGAGTAGGAGAACACAAAAAGTTTGATTACTATTTTCTACTCTATTTGATAATTTAGATTCTTCAGGATAATAAAACTATTATGGACTGTTTAGACGGGAGACATCAACAATTATCAGTTCTGAGTAGGGGTTGTCACCCGAGGGCGCTTGCGCCCGATGGTGACAACCCTACTCAGACCTGATAATTGGTGATGTCTCCCTTCTAAACAGTCCATAATTGTATATTGAGTTGATCTAGGTCACTTTCAAACTGAGTAGGTATCCTATCCTAATCCTGTAAAGATCCTTTCCTAAAAACAGAGTAGTGAGGATACACCCATTCCAGCTTGAGTTTTTCTGAGGGTGGATCAGCCACAGCAGTAACGTCCACATTCTCCACTGAGGTGGGGGCATACAGGTTAATGGCCCGGCCCCTGAGGTAGATTTTCACATATCCTTCCTCTGAAGAAAAGTAAAGTTAAAATAGGATGTGGTGAATGAAGGAATTATAAAGATCCTAGATATGAGGAAAGAACAGAACCATAATGTAATGAACAATTAACCTCATTAATTCACTAAAGACAATCAAATACTATAAAAACTAGAAATATGTCCATAGGACATGAATGCCCCGCTGAGGATATATTAGTAAAGTAACATGAAAATTTGTATGTGTATAAAATTTGATCAGTTTGGTTCAGGTAGGGCTTATAGTTACTAGGGAATAAAAATGTAGGTCAGATCCAGCAACCGAAGCAAGTCTGGTAGTGTCCATCCCTAGATGCATCATCCATGCAAGTTTGGTTCAGGCAGGGCTTATAGTTACTTGGGAATGAAAATATAGGTCATATCCAGCATCCGAAGCAAGTCTGGTAGTGTCCATCCCTAGATGCATCATCTATGCAAGTTTGGTTCAGGTAGGGCTTATAGTTACCAAGGAATGAAAATATAGGTCAGATCCAGCATCCGAAGCAAGTCTGGTAGTGTCCATCCCTAGATGCATCATCCATGCAAGTTTGGTTCAGGCAGGGCTTATAGTTACTTAGGGATTAAAATATAGGTCATATCCAGCATCCGAAGCAAGTCTGGTAGTGTCCATCCCTAGATGCATCATCCATGCAAGTTTGGTTCAGGTAGGACTTATAGTTACCAGGGAATGAAAATGTAGGTCAGATCCAGCATCCGAAGCAAGTCTGGTAGGTCCATCTCTAGATGCATCATCCATGCAAGTTTGGTCCAAGTAGGACTTATAGTTCCTTAGGAATGGACCTGCTCCAAAAACTTGAACCTGGTCACTCATCTGGAAAATGTAGGTCAGATCCAGCATCCGAAGCAAGTCTGGTAGTGTTCATCCCTAGATGCATCATCCGTGAAAGTTTCGTTTGGGTAGGGCTTATAGTTCCTTGGAAATGGACCTGCTCCAAAAACTTTAACCTGGTCATTCATCTGGAAAATCTAGGTCAGATCCAGCATCCGAAGCAAGTCTGGTAGTGTCCATCCTTAGATGCATCATCCATGCAAGTTTGGTCCAAGTAGGGCTTATAGTTCCTTAGGAATGGACCTGCTCCAAAAACTTGAACCTGGTCACTCATCTGGAAAATGTAGGTCAGATCCAGCATCCGAAGCAAGTCTGGTAGTGTTCATCCAGAGATGCATCATCCGTGCAAGTTTGTATCAAAATGTGAAGTTGGATAACACCATCTTGCATGGTATGTTTAAAACTGAGCTGAACACTAATTTAAGAAAAGTGAGGTCAAGGTCAAAGGAAAGGTCAAGGTCAAAAAATGTTGATGCAGTTGCATAGCTCTCATCAATATCTATCAGCATATGAAGTTTGATGAAAATATCTTGGATAGTTTCTTTGAAACTTAGCTTTGAACAGAGCTAAATGCAAAGTGTGACGGAAGGACAGAAGGACGGAAGGACGGAAGTACGGAAGACGGACATGACAAACACTATATGCCCCGGCCATATTCATGGCGGGGCATAAAAATTCCTTTGCAGGCGATCATTTTCAAACTTTTCAACACTATTATGAATACTACATTTTTCTTAATAAATTATCTTTCCAATTCATCTTTTTTGTTTATAGAAGTTATTTACAAACAAATAACAGCTCCATTACCTGCTCTCCATTCTGCTTCTCGGCTGCTGTAATGAGATAAATTAAGCCAAATAAAAAACATGTATCCATAACATAAACTTGATCAAATAACATATATCACAGCCTCATTAAAAAAACACTTACTAACGTGAACTAACTCTTGAATTCTTTTAAAAAATATGATTTTCAATATCCTAAACTGAGTAAATAATGCACAAATCAAAACTTACTAACTAGACTTTATTTAGAACACATGCAGTGTTCTTTCATGTTATGACAAGACAAATATAATTCAGCCACATTCCAATATTGTCGAGAAAAAATTAGTATTTCAATATAAAGATTAGGAGTAAAACACTGTCAATGAAATTAGTACCCTTCTATGAACAGAATACAATCTGATTGGTCAGAATTTGGACTTGATACAAAGTATTGAAAAAGAGCTTGATCGAGTTACCCGCTGTTGTTGAATAATTTTGAATATTTTTAATGATAAAATTCATGACCCCATAATATATCACATAGAATGTCACTTTTATTTCTATGTAGCCAATATGGGTCTATCAAAAAGGCTTTGTTCACTACATTTTCAGAAAGTCGCATTGTTCAATAAAAATCATTGGTGAACCTTACCCTTTTAGACTGAAAATAAAATCTCTTTTCAGCATTTTTCCAAAATTTATCTGTTTATTTTTGTATATTTTGTTGCATTATGTTACAACACTGGAAATCCAATAGCACACAGACAAACCAACAGATGTTACCTACGAAAATCTTTATCCTGACAAAGGAAAGTCTAAAATATGTAACAAAGACCAGTAGATTTACATAATTCTGTTGATATAGTTACCATGGCAATCAATTAATTTTGTGGCTATTGATTCTTCACTAATTCGAGTGAGATGAGCCTCTACATTAGACACCCACTTTTTATGCATTATTTATGATCAATGCTTTGTATGGAAATAGATATTTGTACATATCAATATTATGAATTAAGATTATCAATTAGTGAAATAACTGAAAATCTCTCTTTTCTAGCAACCAAATTCTAGAAATTTTAAATGAAATTCAAACAGTAAAATATGCATTTAACAAATTAAAGTCGTTCACTGCACTTAAAAAATATTAAATTGCTCAAAAATAAAATTTGAAATTTCAAATAATTAAACCAATATTTTGATTAAATCTACATGTATACCAATACAGAGAAATACATCATGCACATCACTAGACACTAGAAGATTACATTTGGCTGCTGAAGTATTTGGTTTCTTAAATTTGTAATAATATGAGTACAGATGATACAGAATATACTTTTAGCAATACTATATTAGTTACAAGTGTAGATAATGCTAAAATTTTTCTACCCTCGAAACAAATCCCTCTATAACTAATACTGTTGAAAGAATAAGTTGTAAAAAATGACACATTTGTTCCTGTCAAACAATATCCTCATTCATGACACATACATCGCCAAGGCCAATTTACTTCCTTAAATACAGTGTATACCATGCAAGCAGAAACTCCTAATGCATCAACCACCTACTAATAACACAGTGCATATATACAATTCTCAAAATATCATTTGTGTTCAGAACAATCAAATAATATATCTGCCAAACTGAGTGTAAATAAAATTCATGCAATTAAAACAAAAGCAGAGAATTTGGTAAATTAAACATAAAATTTCTTGTTACCGTGCCTTGGACCCCTTCTTTCCTCTGGAAGCCATGAGTGACAATTGTACAATGTATATTTTTGATACACAGTAATAATGTCCCTGCCCAGTTTATAAAAATTCACTAATGACGAGAACTGTTTCACATGAATTAACACACAGAATGTTACTATGTCAACAACATGTAGCTGGCAAGATAAGTATATAAAGCTCCGCTGGAGTGTAACGGCCGGGAGACTGACGGCCAGTCAGCTGACAGTCATGTGACTCGCATAAAATTTACCTGGTTGTCAAGGAAACCATCAATAATTAATGAAACGTAATACAATAATGTCCATCGCTTGAACATAGGCTAACAGTGGCCCTTCTGATAAATTACACAATGGGCAATTAAACCATGGTTCAACAACTCGATATGAAACAAAGTCTTAATTTTCCCTTAAAGGCTCCACTTTCTTTCTCTATGCCTATGTTCCTTGGTGCAGATAACATTTCTGCATTCTAAAGTAAATATAAACCACTTAAGATCTGGATTAAAATGTTCTGATGCATCTTCCTGTATGTGAGTTGTTTTTTCCTACTAAACCTCCATGCTAGGAACATGTGTGTATGCCAAAACAGGTGAGCAACTAAACTGAATTATTAAAAGAAAAAAATTAAGATTGTTTAAAAGCAAAATATAATTCTAAATTTCATGTTCAAAATGGCAAAAATAAATAAGACCGTTTACCACTACCAACCAGGACTCCCTACTGCAGAGCAAACAAGTTCAGACCAAGAGCATAATATGAATTCTCTGACGACTGTTATTGTGAACTCCCATGTTCACTTACAGAGTGTCACTTAGATAATCTATCTGACTTACTATGAGTGATCACTTCGCATTGCTACTATGTCAAGTCAAATATTCATAAGCTGGTTTTATCATAGGGAAACTCTAATAACATTTGATAGCTAGGCTTTTATTCTAAATCGAGTTTAATCTGGCAGTTATTTCAACTGAGAGCTTTATGTGACTATATGCTATTTTAATGCCCAAATTAATATGCATGTAAAACTGACCCATTTATTTTCTGATGATAGATACCAAGCTCATATAATTACAACTATAGATTAAGAGTCAGAGGAAGGAGCAACAAATGTATGAACCTATATTTGACATTTTTGTAGCCTTCTCTTTTATTTGCAAATTCTTATTCTTTACAAATATAGTAATATCCAATTGCCATGTTTTCTTTGTCAGGTCCATCACTTGAAATCATTTATATCAAGCAAACTTCAATGGTTTCTATGCTGTTTTACTGAACAGTGTAAAGCATTTTTTTTATCTTGTATAATTGATTAATACATGTAACTTGAATGAGGTCAAGTTCAATCTAACGACCTTCCCACCTGTCACCACAATATGGTATAGAAATAAATAAGATACATGCAATTATCCCAGCCAACCCTAAAACCCCAACAATATATTACAGTGCATAGGAACAACCTATTATATTGACTTAATATTGTTAAACCAAAACAACTCTGTTATATACTTTAATTGGATAAAATTTGTATATTTGGGTTAATATTTGATATATTGGTAGATACATTTCAAATATTGTTAACTTGTCTGCACACATTACATAGAAGATTTTTTTCTCTCTGATATATATCAGAAGTGATAAATTCTTTTCAATTTTGTTAAATGTGCTAAATGGCTTATACAAAGAGCCACAACTCTTGTCCAAACTTTTGATCAAAATCCTCTATGCAATTGATAAGCTTTGTGTATAGATGTATACCCCTGTTATCCCAAGTTACCTCCTTTCATTGGAACTCTCTTGCTCATAGCCTTTACTAGATTTTCTTTTTGATTCTACAGAATTGCTAGTTTTTGGTGCAACAGGTTTGCTAGATTTTGGTTCAACAGGTTTACTAGTTTTTGGTTCAACAGGTTTCGAATTGCTAGCCTGGCTAGAAAATCCCACAAGATTTAAAAGAAAAAAAAATTATACAAAACTGAACAGAAAATAAAAATGAAACACTTAATAATATTTCATAAAGAGGTTTGCTAGCTTACCCGTCCCTATGGAAACTTGGAGAGTCCAAAGAGTTTGACATGGAAGACCATTTTTTGTTTGAAGTGTTAGTGCGTGGAGACGCAGTAGTTCGATGTGTGGGCGTTGTGGGCCTTTTGCTGGGCGTGACGCGGGCATTCTCCAGAGGATTGGTGAATGATTTCTCGGTCCGCCTAGTGGGGGTTCCTCTAATATTGGGCTTGCTGGGCAACACTGATGATTGTGCTGTAACAGAATTATCATTGGATCTTAATTATTGGTTGACTAAATACATAATGTACAGTTGACTTGATGGCTCATCAATCATACTCAGAAATTCTTGGCATCCTAGTCTGATTTTTTTCTCAATAAATATTAAATTTAAAACAAGTAAGTCCTCATGTTTTAAAAGTATTAGAAAAAGTATCCACTATTTTCCACATATTAAATGTCCCTTGTACTTATGTTTTCTTACTTTCAAGTTGCTAAAAAAGTAAGACACAAGGCTGTCTACAATGTGTGTTCTGCCATATTATGACTGATCCCACATGCTATTTAAGAAGTAGTAAAACCACTTTCTGTCCATCAATCTGGTAATACTGAGTTTTCCTGACTTTTCCTTGTAGATAAAGCCAGCTTCAAAAAATAATGCTTCTTTGCCCTCTACCCACTTAGGATCAAACATTTAGGCTCGTAAGTAGTCTAGAAAATTATTTTTCTCAGAAAATTTCAATTTGAATGCTAAATTTCAAAAAAATATATTTTCCAGAATACAGTGCATAAACAAAATTAATTGCTTCTAGGAGGTGAAAAAAAAATTTTTTGAGTTGGGCTATTTTTATCCAGTCGGTTGGGGGAGGGCAACCAATTTTTTAAAGAGGGCCTAATGAGGCAATTTTTTGGGTAGCCTTTTGATATCTATGACTTACAGGAGTTTTGTGTTGATTGAACCATTTTTATAAGCCCCTCTTTAGACGGAACGTATTATTATGAAAGTTATGCCCACCAGTGTTTCTGAACTCTTGTTATTCCAAGCTCTCAAAATAAAGTTTTTCAGTGGTGCATAGTCTGTCACCTTGATATTTATAATCTTTATTTAATTAGCTCTGCACTGTTAAAGAATGAATTTCTTTCTTTGAAATTTTGACTTAGAGGTCAATTTTAATGATTCATAATTTTTCTTTCTAATAAGTGAATAACAAAAATAAATGCTTGTGCATTCAATCATCAATCCCCCCTCCTGATATAAAGCAAGCTGCTCATTTTAGAACTACCAACCTAATAGTAATGGGCTACCCCTCATGGTTAGATTTTATCTAAAGGATAATTAGATGTTAACCACCAATATATATCCTCATCTAGATCCATTTCCTGCTCAGGGATACTTCTTGCAGAATATTACTTTCAGGACTCAGAAATAAGGCTTCAAATAAATTTAAAGAGGTAGAGCCACCTTGGGTCATATCTGGCCCTAAAAATTTCTGAAAAATCAAAACCGATCAGTTTAGGTTGCAAATGCAGTAGTTATCACTTGGATTGGTGGTGACCACTTATCTATTAATCATGACGTAATTTCCCACCTAGTCAATGCATTATGACGTCATAAAATGCGTCATTTTCCTCTTATCATGTGAATTCCTTCCAAAATGACCTAAAGTTGAAGCTTTTTTTTCAATATTTCATATAGAGCACAACCTCTGATCCATAATATGCAATAACATAATGAAAGCTCTGTTTCTGAAGATCAAAAAACATGTTTTATTTTTTGGATCGTGGGCTGTGCTCATATTTTAATTCTTTGCTGAAGGTAGTCAAATACGCATTTTTTCTGCAAATTTCAAGAACATTGCAATTTCTCAAACCTGTTTTCCAATATCTGGATTCTCAAAAACAAAATTTTATTATAGAAAATGGGAGCATCAAGTGTCTACTTTCTTTTGATATATGAAATGGGAAAGAGGGTGATAGTTAACTAATTGATATAAGTACAGGGCCATTTTATGCATAAGATGGCTCTACCTCTTTTACCTATCTTAACTAAAGAGTTCCACAAATTAAGCAATACCCTGGGGTATAATATAGGGCTATGGAATGGTATGAAGGAAATAGAAAATCTATGCTTCTCAAAAAGGAAATGAAGACTCTGAATGGGAAAACTTCTTCATCAAACCCTCAGTATGATTATATTCACCTCTGGAGAGCGCCCACATGCAGGCAGTGAATAACAGTTTATATCTGGCCTTCCTATACCCAGCTCACCTTTGCTGGCCATCACATGGCCCATTCTGTGACTCCCCCTATACCCAGCTCACCTTTACTGGCCTCCACATGGCCCAGTCTCCTGATGACGTCCGCTAGCGCACTCTTCAGACAGATGATCTCGTCCTCCTGTTGCTGGACTTTCTTCTCTAGACAGAGGACTCTCTCACACGTGTCCATGTGTTCCTGACTGAGAAGTCCATCTGTAACACAAACCAGGATCATCAGAATTATAATATTACATTACATATAAAAACATTATTAACTCACAAGTTTCAATTCCTCATGTTTTAAAATATTTGTGTGCATTAATATATTGAACAATCACTTATTGGTCACAATTGTTGATTACTGGATCTTTTCGCCTAACAGAGAAATGAAACTTAATTAACTCTCAGTACATTCAGTACTTTGCTTATTCTTGCTGTGGTGTATCATCTTTTTTTATCCTTCAAAAGTATCCAAAATCTGGAGTTCTACATAAGAATCATATAAACATTGTGATAGAGCTAACTGTTTATCACAAGGCATTTTTAAAACTTAAAACACTTACTTTTTGCCCTTGATTAAATGATATACTTTTCTTTCATTTCCTGTATCACTATGAGAGACTGTTAAACTTTAATCACTTATTATCTGCCCCTGATTGCCGATTAACCTTTTTTTAATTACCTGTATTTATACATACATCACAACCCTTTTAATAGTGTTTACATTACTTGCTAGAGAAATTTATGAGGAGCCCGTAAGTCTGTCTATATGTTATACTGTTTCTTTCGGTATTCACACAAAACTGTAGAAGTTACAAGTATGCATGGTAGCTAGGATATTGATTAGGAAGTCCTGGTATTGATTTTCCATTACCCACTGGACTCAGTGGACTGTACTTAACAGAAACCATCAGCCCTATACATTAATTCAGACATTCAGAGGAAATCTAGCTGACCATCCGTAGTAATGCCAATGTGACAATAACCTGCATACAAATGACCACATCAATCTAAAGATATAGCTATTACTGACTGATAACCTTCCACCAGAGACCGTGAACATTAGGAACTGATAAACCAATATACATGTATTCAACAAGAACATTTCCTAATTTTGTTTATCTACAAGGGAAGAGAGAATTACTTATGTAATGAGTTGTTTTGTTTGTTTACATTTTGTTACAGAATATTAATTATTAGCACATGTGTGAAGAAAACAGAAGAATTTTTTTTTACTTCTTTGAAAAATCAACTTCCAACATTGTAAATACTTTTAATCAATTCAACACAATAACGAGACCTTCAAAAGTGAAAGTAGCATAATTAAAGCATGCAGCTTCCAATAACACAGGCATCATACGTACACAATGGAATTATATACCACATTAGTGCAGAACATGTGGCAGATGTGCTACATTTGAAAAACATTTTTTCTTATCAATCAAATAAGGCCAGTAATTTAATTAATAGCTCACCCAAAACATCTCTATCATCAGAAACATGAAATCCCAGATCAATACCACTATAGTCAGCTGAGCTCTTTGCGCTGGGCTGGCTGCCATGACAACTAAAGGACAAGTGGTTCTCCATATTTACTCATGCATTCACTGGTCAACACACGCCAAAAACTAAGAGCTCTGGCCTTCCAGCCATCTCTCTTCCATTGTTTACCCTAGCTGCCTTATTTAGGCTTTATAAGCACAGGTAGGATGTGGGAAATCTTCATTTGTTGAACACCATTTGTTTCCAATAAATCAATATCCAGTCTGAATGCACTCTTCCTTGGTACACAATAGCCTTCTTTGTGTGACCTTGACAGGGAGTCACCACTTTGATCTGACAATCTTAATCCCACACTTTTGTCAGACCTCTCAATTTGTCAAAGTTATATCAGACTTCAATTAGCATAGGAGCAGCAGTTTTTCTACTTAATAAACTTTTTTAGTCACTCCCAGTTTTTTTCAAGATTCCATTCAGACGACTTTTATCCATTTTCCAAAAATCTTGGTGAGCAGTTTTTGTGAAAAGAAAAAAAATTAAAAGGAGAAACTGGTTAACTATGTTGAGTAAGAGAGCCTCTTTAAAATCCACATCTGCATATATTCCTAAGTAAACATAAAATAGTAATTTAAAGTTATTTGGAAGGTTATTTTTCAAGATTTGAACGTGTTTAACTTAAGAGTCCCATAATTCATCACAGTCACTCCGAAACTGAAATTGTCACAGTTTTAATGGCCAGCAAAGAAAACGATAATGCAGGCAATTATGTCATTCGCAAATATAAACATGACAATGCATGTATCACAAACTTGAACATAAAAACAGACTTTAAACTTTTCTAGTATCTCTCAGATTAACTTCAACAGTTTAAAAAATATGTAAAAATAGCCCAAGCTTTTATCACTTCAGCCTCTAAGATCTACATTTCCTTCAAGATAAAATAAGTACACAGGCTCCTACGGTTATCTCTACAAGTATATATCCCTTAAATATTAATAATCAGCTGGAACTCCCCTCCAAATTACAAGGTGTGAAGTCTGCATTCCTTCTCACATAACTTGGAATTATACGAATATATATATACATGTACCTTATGTGTATATACTGAATTATCTGTCTTTTACATATTCTGTTATATAACAGTGCAGATACAGTTGTATCAGAATTGTTTTTGGCTTTGCAACAAGGAAAATCATCAGTATACCTGTATTATGTTATACACTCACTATTGGAATCCTATCTGTTTTGTATACAATTTTATTGATGTATTTTTCGCATTAATTTAATTTAGTAAACAGGTAGGCCTTGTTGAAAATTGACATACAGCTACATGTAAAACAGAATGACAGTTTTTTCTTATTAAAAAAAAAAACAAACAAACAACCATACAACAATAAAACACGTTTTTTTCATAACTATGCAGGCTAGAACTTTTTTTTTTACATTATCACAGTTATCTCCCATTCACAGGACTTTAAAATGACACCCTTGGAAGCAAGCAATCATTTTGGTTTTTCTTCCTGTTCTGCTATCCATTTTAAGAAATTCAACTGAAACTAGAAATATTGCCTGATAGTGCTATGTATGGGTTTTCCTATTAAAATATTCATTCACTCCTTATGCTAACCGTTGACAATGTTAAATTTAATACAAGCACTAGCTCCTTCATCTCTTGGAATTCAAACAGGTATCCAACAATACATATACCTTTTATCAGCAAAGATTACATAATTTAGAGTTGTTCAGAGTGATATCATGGAACTTTAAAAACAGTAGAATAATTTAAATCTAACTTTTGGAAATCCATTTGCAAAACTTCAAAAGTTTCAAACTGCAAAATAATCCACTGCATCTAGTGCATGTAAATAAATGTCTTTTTTGAAATAAAATATTGTAAAGTAATTTTGCAATTGCCAAAGGAATATTTTTCAGGATTTGTATCATTTCCTAGTATGTGGGAATGTGATTGAATTGTCAGATACATTGCACTCATAAAAAGGGTTCTGGTATAGATCTGTGTTCAGGCAATGTGTGCTGAAAATGGCATTGATTTAGACTAGAGAAGAACTGCAAACCAAATACCACTTGAGGGTTTTTCTGTGACAGTGAGAGAAGACAAATTGAAATGATTTCATTCCAAAGAAAAACTTTAAAGAACAGAACCATTTATAATGTTTTGGGCAAATGCATAATAAATTTTGAAGCATAACTTTTTCATGCCTCAAATTTTGAGCAATCACCACAGAAAACAATGGTATGATTATATTCAGGAATTCATGAAAAACATTCCTTTTGATCTATAACAAACAATGGTGAATTGTCAACATTTAACCATTGCTAGTATCCCAAAATGATGCATCTGATAATATTTTCAATACTGTTGTATATTCTATGGTGTGAAATTGCTTATAGATTTCAGCAACGTAAATTTCATTTACTCTACCTGTCAGATGTTTATCTATATTCAACAATACAGACATCTGTCAGAGATAATCGTTAAAATCTGTTGATTAGCTTTTGTAGGCATTTAAATTTTTTTGCTGATGTTTAACTTTTTTTTCACATACTGAATGTGTGTATAATTCAAGCAGTCCCATTACCATATAAGTCCTTATAGTATACTCAATCTTTTGTAGTTCAATGATGTGGAAGTTTTCATTTGTAGGATAGATTTAAACAAGAAAATTGAACAACTTTAAAGCTAAATCTGTTTTTGTTTTCTTTCAATAGGGATATGTTACATTTATTTTAGGTCATTAGATTCATAAACATGAACTACTTTTCCAAAGAATACTGCATATCTAACATTTTGATAGAGGGTATTTAAAGTTAGTATTTTCATTATAAGATGGCAACTAAATCAAAGAAATAGCAAATTTCAGAAAATAAAACCAGTTTACTACATGCAGTTAATTTGCATTTTGTTCCACATGCACACAGAACACAAAACTTTATCCAATCATTTGCATTCATCTTGTAGTATTCAGTATTTGTTTTGTAAAGTGTCAAATATCTAGTTAACTTCAAAAATCTATTTTAATGCTGCATTTATTTGTATTAATTATCTTAGTACAGAGTAGCAGTATTGGTTCAAAGGATAAGTCTCTGAAAAAACAAACGGATTCTTGGCAATTTTTTGTCCTTAAATTTAAAAATAATTTCCAGCCACTTTAACAATTGAGGCCTACTTTCTGTTCATTAATAAATTCAAATGTGAGCAGAAGAAGGTTGCATGGTTTAATTATATTTCTTATCTACTACTTGTAAATTCTACAACTATGAATATAAAGAAGATTTTTAAACATGAGTACTTTTTAAACTGTCTTGCTATTGGGGAAAGTTCAGTGATTAGAACACCTGACTAGTGATGCAAGAGTTCTTGAAGTTCAATCCTCAATCTAAACATGTATTTTTCTTTTTTTTCTGATATATTTGGTGTCATTGACCATCCCTTGATATGCAGGTGTTATCCTGGCTGCCTAAATGCACAAGAATTTGGGTGGTGCTGCATGCATCTTCAAGGATAAAGACAGTGAGTGTAGTACCATAAATTGAACCACTGACCATGGTTATCTGCTAGAATAACTCTGTGATTAGAACACCTGACTAGCAATGCAACTCCTGGGCTTGATTCTTAAGTTTTATAAATTTTACCCTATCCTGTTGTACAATATTTTGATTATATTGAGTGCATTGCTAAGATTAAACAACCAAGTAAAACAATAAGTTAGTCAACTAAAATGGCAATAGAACTAATATCCAAATTTTTATCAGTAAAAGAATATGATACGTCTCAATCTGCTGCAATCAATCAACCAAGACCATTTATAGACAGATGAATAATAAAAACTTAGTTTATGTCTTCCAAAGCAGATGAATTCTTGGATGGAAACAAAAGTGGTAATCAGGGATAGGGTACCACTGGCTGCTAACTTCATTTTATAACTCAAGACTTGAACTCTCCTTGATTAAAATGATTTTAATACCAATAGAATTTTAGGGAGTAAGTAAATATCAAGATGAATCTATAAATACAGCCAACATTACAGATTACCAACAAAGCAAAAGGACCTGGCTGCCATCCTTGATAATGAGCTCAACTGGGGATCACATATTAGTAACATCACAAGGAAAGCAAACACCATCATTGCTTTTTGGAGCTGCAAACTTTCTTGCCACCCATGACCCATCAAGTCAACCAGTTCTAAGACCTCCAAGTCAAATAAGCCTCTTCTTCTTGTGATCATACCAGCAAAACCCATAGGCTAGAAGCTGTAGGTTGGGCTTTCATGATACATCATGGGCAATAACAACAGGGAAAGCAGTGTTTAATCATGATCTATGATTCAACATCTCCCTGTTGATACTGTGCACAGGCACCATGATTTATGACCTCAAAGACATTCCATCTAGCAGTCTAGTCATCTGGTACAAACAACATTTTACTGAGGACATGCTTTGAGATTTTTACATACATTATGTCACTTTAAATGCTACCATGACTCTTTCTCTCTAGTTGGAGAAGCGATATAGAACTCATTACCAATATTCATGCTCACAGCTGATTCACTTGAGGCCTCCAAGACCTGAATCAGCTCCAGTCATGATCTATTTAAGGTTATTTTCATTTCAAAAATGATCGATTTTAATCAGATCTTAACAAAGCCAACCTCAGTATGATTTTTGACTATAGATCAACAAGTCGTTCTGAAAAGAGTGAAAATAATAAAAGCAATATCTTATTCCATAATTTACATACTGGAAGCATTTTCAACTGAGCCCAAAGTCATCTTCACTGATGTTTCAGAATAAAACAAAAGAGTTCCAGTGCCATGTTTTGCAATATTGCAATATTGGGATTGGAACGGGGCTAAGTGGTACAGGATTTGCAACATAATTGAAAATTCACTGAACTCTATATTCATTTCATTCCAGTAGATTCGACCTTAGGCTATGTCGGTCTTGGAAAAACAGGTAGCGACACCCTAAGGAGAGTACTTAGTGCTACCCTGTTTTTATCGCATATGAAGACTGTGGTTTTTCTAATATTCAATCAAAGAAAGTTATACTTTCCCATAATACTCACCACAACTGGCAACACTGTCAGAGAGCAGGCCATTCGATAGTTCCGTTGCACTGTCCATCGCCGACACTTTCTGACTGGTTGACCTACCGGTAGTTCCGAAAGAGAACCAGCTAAAAGAGTCGGGTAAAATCCGTTCGTATGACGGTACGCTGTTTTGGAAAAAGTTATCTATTTCTCTATACTGGGGAATTTAATCTTAATAAGTAATGTAGAAAAATATACATTCCACAATAGACTATTTCAAGGCGGGTGCATTTTATTAAAATTATGAAAATATTAGCTAATTCAGAAAAACGCGGAGACTTCTAGGCACAACATTTACCTTTTCCTGTCGCCATACTTGTCGCGGCGGGAAATTAAAACGTTGAAAGCATGCATGGCAGTCGTGGATCAAAATTCACTTGAGAAGTAACTGTGTCATGGTATTTTTGTTTTATAGTTTTGTCATGTACAGGAAAATGTTTAGATCTATTTGATAAACCCCGGGATCAATGACATCATGTTAGGTCAAATAGGTCATTTAATACTGTATTCTCCGCATGTCTTTGACCGGTAAAAGTCATGGAAATTTCCAGATTGTGTAGACAAATCTTGTTTAGCTTTGATATTAACTATCTATTTAAAATAATTATTGTGAAACAATTTGAACCACAATCACCACTACATACTCTGTCAGTTCTGTAGTGTGCAATAATAATGAAGGTAACATCAGAGATATCAATAATTTTATTTTGCCTCGGATATATAAAGGAAACAAACCCTAAAAGATCTTTGTTAAAAAACTATTGTTTTTAAAAACTTTAAAAAAAAAATAACTAATTGCTGTTCAAGTTTGGCAGTTTTGGAAAATTTTTTAAAATTATGCCCACTTTTAAATTGTTCACAGGAATCAAGATTCAAAGAGGGAAAATCCTTTTCAGCGAATTATATATATGAACCAATGTTTCCTTATCAATCTCAAAGTGCAAGAACAAGTGAAGTCCCATTTCAAGACCAATCCAAGGATCAGAATCAATCAAAACACTCGATAACTGTTCAATCCCAGGATCCAATCCAAATAAAACAATGGACAACCAACCAATGTATAAGTCATGTGGAGCTGTCAAAAGGAACTTCTGTGGTATTTCTTTCTTTTTTTTTTTTGTAACAAAACTACAATAGTTATTCTAATTTAAACATAAAGTTTAGCATACCTGGTGATTGAAAGAAAGACAAGTCTGTGCATCCAAATGGATTTGCATCCAGAACATCTGGTATGCAAATCCAGAGCTCAGAACCTCTACAGGTCCAGTTTAAGGGTTGACCCATTTGCAGACTTTGCACAAGCTATTAGAGTGTCATGCTTTTTGCACTACAACATTGTCCCTCTCCAGAGAATAGGATGGCCTCATTTAGGTTGAGCAAGTGGGTGAACTTTTTAGCTCCATCAGTAAAGCACCATGGACTGGCATGCTAGAAGTCTGTAACTTTTGGAGTACAGAGGCCTGTGTCAGAGGCAATGTTTTACATGACAGAGAATACCCTATTCCTATGAAGGTTGCCGAATGTAAAAGAAACAGGTCTGTGCCCCAAAATGGATTTGAACCTTAGCCCTACTAGGATGCCATGTATCTTGCACTATCACATAATCATTTCTTTATGTTCTAAATTCACCAATTCAAACGAACATAAATTATTTATAAATAAAACTCAAAAACACTTTATATAGGATGAGCTCGCATGCGCGAATGCAACACACTTAAAAGAATTGTATACAGTATACAAAGCACAGTCTTTAGTTTAACTTCTGAAATCCATATCATTCTACAAAAAGGAAAAAGATTCAAATAAAGCGACAAGTCAACATTAATACAAACATGTAGGAAATAACGATATTGGAAGGGGTGGGTTGGGCGGGGAATTAGTCTGTTGCAATGTAGCAGCGAACTTCGAATGACTTAAAACACCCGAAAATCTACCTTATACGTGACTGAATCATGCGTAGCACGGATTCAACCTATTCATCCGTAAACAAATGAACAACCAATCGATCTCCTTTACCGATGGACTTAATCTGCATACATAACAAATACACGTGTTTTACCATTACTTTTATAAATATATTAATACATTACTCATAAGAATATTGGACAAGAATTAAAATTTGATAATTTAAATTTTTAAAGCAACAATTTTGTATTCAAAAACTGATTTTAATTTTTTTTAAAGAAAAGCTATGTTGGTGAAGAAAACTGTGAAATTTCAAACATCAAGACAATTCCTATGTCTAGTGCAATGTTGTCACCAGTAACAGCACAGACAAAAACAAACAAACGTACAGGAGAGAAAACTCCCAAGACTTTGTTAAAAATGATGGAACGGCACAGAGAAAATGAGAGGTAACTATATATCATAACTACGTCATACAAATAGGGCACAAAATCAGGGCTAGTCATTAATGATTGTCTGAATTTCTGTCTTTTCCCCCTCATAGTTGAACACATCGTCACAAACCACGGCCAAAATGTACAATCCTCTCCCATTCTGGTAGGAGAGAGCTATATGCGGACTCCGGACCGTGGCTCGAGACGATGAGTTGAACATGAAAGTGGAATTAAGGACAGATGATACAAACAAACTTTTGTCAAAAAATTTGAAAATAACAACTTGAGTCATGTTTTAATGATTAAAATGAATAGGTTACACCGCGTAGTTAATCTTTTTAGCTCACCTTAGCCGAAGACTCAAGTGAGATTTTTTGATCACATTTTGTCCGGCGTCCGGCTGTCTGTCTGTCTGTCTGTAAACTTTTCACATTTTCGACTTCTTCTCAAGAACCGCTGGGCCAATTTCAACCAAACTTGCCACAAAGCATCCTTGGGTAAAGGGGATTCAAATTTGTTCAAATGAAGGGCCACGCTCTCATTCAAGGGGAGATAATTGGGAATTAATGAAAATTTGGTGTTATGTTTTAAAAATCTTCTCAAGAACCACTGTGCCAGGAAAGATGAAACTTATGGGGAAACATCCTCAGGTAGTGTAGATTCAAGTTTGTTCAAATCATGACCCCCAGGAGTAGAGCGGGACCACAATTGCCGACCAAAGTTTTACATAGAAATATATATGAAAATTCTTTAAAAATCTTCTTCTCAAGAATAGCAAAGCCAGAATTGATCATATTTATATGGAAGCATTCTCAGGTAGTGTAGATTCAAGCTTGTTCAAATCATGATCCCCGTGGGGTAGGGCGGGGCCAATGGCCGACCAAAGTTTTACATAGAAATACATAGGAAAATTCTTTAAAAATCTTCTTCTCAAGAATAGCGAAGCCATAATTGATCATATTTATATGGAAGCATCCTCAGGTAGTGTAAATTCAAGTTTGTTCAAATCATGACCCCCGGGGGTAGGGTGGGGCCACAATGGCCGACCAAAGTTTTACATAGAAATATATATGAAAATTCTTTATAAATCATCTTCTCAAGAATAGCGAAGCCATAATTGATCATATTTATATGGAAGCATCCTCAGGTAGTGTAGATTCAAGTTAGTTCAAATCATGACCCCCGGGGGTAGGGCGGGGCCACAATGGCCGACCAAAGTTTTACATAGACATATATAGGAAAATTCTTTAAAAATCATCTTCTCAGGAATAGCAAAGCCATGATTGGTCATGGGACTACTTTTGGATGTAAACTTTAAATAATAAACCAATTTCTACTTTTTCCTAGCTACAATGCTCAGGTGAGCGAGGTGGCCCATGGGCCTCTTGTATTCAAAGTTGCACAAAAATGGAATTTGAAGTGAAAAATATTTGTATTGAATAAAAAGGATGTTTTCAGAAGGATAGAATTTTGAATGTCAAAGAAGGTTGACAATTTCTTTATACCGGTATTCTAGAAATTTATTATTTGTATCATTTGCAATGAAATTGGGTCAAAAAATATATACCTATCCAGACATCCATTTTTTGTTTGTATCATCTGTCCTTAAATATGATCTATTATCATTTTTTTTTCTTGAAGTTTAAATTTTAATCCTGATTGTCCAGTGGCGTAGCATCGTTTTTGAAAGTGGGGGGGCCAGGCAGGGAAAAATTTTTTTTACTTACCTGAAAAAGGTTGACAAAGACCCAAAAAAAAAAAAAAAAAAGGTATAAGTTGCCCAAAGTCGAAAATCCTGTTTCGTGACAAGTTCTTTTGCGGTCTTCTACGGTTTTCTACGGAATCCATGATGGGGGGGGGGGGGGGGGGGGGGGGGGGGGGGGTTAGGTATACTTTTTTTTCTCAGTGTCAACTACTTCTAGTACCAATTCTTATACTGCATTTTCGATACATTTCTAAAAGTGGAGGGGCCAACCAGGCTTTCAATTAACATTTCCTATAGTGTAAGTAAGGTTGGGAAAAAAAAGTGGGGGGGGCCAGGCCCCCCCTGGCCCCCCCGGATACTACGCCCCTGTTGTCAGATACAATGTCTTCAGTCTATTTTGCTATAAGTGTAAATAAAATCAGACTTGATGAGTATATAATTAAAACTTTATTTTATGTAATAAATTAATTAGTTGTTTATTGAAAAAATATTGGACAAGTAAAAATTATATGAGAAGTTAAATTTCATAGTTTCTAGTAGAAAAAAAGTTAACAGTAATCAAGAGACCCAAAGACTGGAGTTAAAATATCAGCACTTTAGTATATATACATGTACAAATTTTGTTTGAAGGGTAAGGCACCATACATTGAATGAATCCATGAAGAAGGTCTGTGAACGCGTCCCAGGTTACTCAGCAGTCATGAAAGAAACAAAGGTATAAAAACAGGATTTAATATATTTAATTTTACTTTTATATAATTCTTTGTGAAACAGCTTTCAACCCATACATACTGCACCTTTTATGATAGGTTGTGATGATGCAGAAAATAATAGCTTACATTTGTTATCTGGAGAATACAGTCCATGATCTGTGTGAGAAACTGGATGTAAGAGTTAGTGATCTTCTCATGTCAACAGACTTCATTACAGAACAACTGAGATCCAAGAAAGGTATATCTACAAATAATGGAAATCAGTTACAATACATACAGTGGTTCCTAATTATTATTGCTAATAACATGTAACATATTTGCAGGGGAAAAAAATTACATTCATTAAATTTTTTTTTTGTGTAATTTATTAAAACAGTTCTTTAAATAAAATTATGTAAAAATGAAATTGGGATAAAAATTCAGCAACATCAGAATTTGAGATAAGAATGAAGCTATTATTATTTAAGTTATTATTATTCACAGCTAGATTTTCTTTTTTGAATTTTTGTTAAACTGGTTCATATAGTATTATCTGAATTGCTCTAAAATTTAATTTGATACATCTGATTTACTTTTATTTATAAAGCTTTAAAAAAGGACAGTGCAATACTGAAACACAAGGTGAGCTAAAATCATAAAAGTTGCTATTTACAGCATAGATATATTAATACTTATATATGAGTGCTTTATTGCTGCATTTGAATTTTATCTAACCTCAAAAGGAGCAGTGGTGAAGTGTCATTTTTGTCTTATTAAATAACTTTTTCCACCAATCCCTCAGTTCTTGAGAAGTTTTACTTTCCCAGTATAATTAAATCCATTGGAAACATGTTTTCTAAGCACTCTAATTTATTGATACATGTATTCAATTTTGAATAAGGCAAAGATCAAGTCTGAAAGCAAAAAAATAAAAGTAGAGCCCAGACGACTGAAGATCTCCTCCCCAACCATAGACTCTACTACTGACCACAAACTGGTGGAGGAGGGGTACGATTCCTCCCAGGAGTCGGGGATTGGAACCAGTGTGGGGATTCAGACTTTCTCCTCCATCAGGGACCACCACTGGCTGACATCTCCGCTCAATAACCTCATCAACATCTCTGGATGTGAGGGGACCCAAGATGACCCAGGTATTGAATACTGTAAATCACTATTTATTCACAAGAACTTTATTTTCGCGTACCGTAATTTTCGGATTATAGGTCGATACTTTTTTTCTCAGAACCGCTGAGGTCGACCAATATACGAATTCGACCCTTCTTAGGCTGAAGTTTACGAAAAATGCCCCAAAATCAATAAAATTTACGTCAATTTCAAAGCAAATCTGTGCCACCTTCGTAACTTTTTTCATTATTTAACGCAGAAAAATTAATGTCCAGGTAAACAATAAAATATTTATTTTATAGCTTTCTTACAAAATAAATTCCATTACATATCCGTTGATGACAAAGGAAAAAACTGTGCTTCATCAAGTAAATAATTCCTCAACGTGTTTATCAATTGCCATCATGCGGTAGCCATCTTGTGAAGTTAGGAAGTCGCTACCGTTTACTAAAAGTAAAACCGCAACCGTATCAAATTTAAAATACGGAAAATTTTTCAAGATCACAACTGTAGTGTTTTACCATTTATTAATAGATTAATAAATTGAAATAGTATTAATTTTTTTATTGTGACAGTCTTATATTTATTTATGTGTAAAATGAGAGAAATATATTTTGCCAGTCAATTCCTAAATTTAATTACCAAATGAACCGATAGTCATTACTATATATATTTTTTTATTTTATTTAATTATAATTCCGGTCAAACGAATTAGCGCTATACAAAGATTGGCTTCTAAAGAATTTTAATTGTCTCACAGATAAAAGGATTTACACTGTGTGTACACGCAAAGGTTTTAACACCTGTGTTGGTTTAATACCCTCAGGGCATGATAAGCAAATCCACGTGCCATTATAGGGTATTAGTGTTACACATCATTGAACAAACAAAGCCATGAAATTCATAATGACTGTCAAATTGTGAATGTACCGGTACTCTCAATTAAATATATAATTAAACTTATAGCGTGGTAATATTATTTCAATTCTTTACTGTTGCTTTATATATACATTCAATGGTCGTTTGCGGGTTTTAGCAAATCCCTGAAGAACAAAACTGAAAATGGCGGACATCGAATCAATTGTCGTCCACCGGTAAATAATGTCTGAATAAAATATATTAGGAATGTGTCCAAGTTGTTCTGAAATCAGAATTATTATTCTTTGTTCTCGGATATTTCCCGAATTATAGCTGTAAAATAAGAACGTGTTTACATGTTATTTATGCCTCTGGTTTAACAACAGTATGAAACTATGGAGGCATTGAATAGGCAAGTTGGAGAAAAATAAGTAGTAACACAATTCAACGAAGTTTTAACTACATTTTTTAAAAAAAACTTTATTTAAATGCTGTACTCATTAAAATACCTGTTTGTTTTATTGATACGTTCATGTCACGGAATTACCCCGGTAATTATAGAGGTTTACCTGTTCTGATACGTTGTATCTGCGTAAGAATCTTTAGAAAACGGGAAACAAAGCCTCGTCCTATACAGTAAGTTCGTCCTATCTTAGGATTTTTCAAAAATTAAGGCTGAAAATGAGCCTTTCGACCTATATACCCCATCGACCTATGACCCGAAAATTACGGTAATTACGCGAGACAGTGTGCTCGCGAAAATTTCATTCTCGCATATTATAGTATTCCTTATGATTATATAGAGCAATAACCACAATTCATGAAAATTTTGTCTCGCTAATCAAGAGTCAATGACTATCTCGCGAAAATAAGGTGTCGCGAAAATTAAGTGATCTACAGTACATTAGGGCTGTGTGAAAAATTGAATATGTACATTTATGTATGGAGACACAAAGTGACAAGTTTTACTTATGTCTTGTAGATGAGGAGGGATTCTATAGTCAATCTACTCAAGGTGTGCTCAGCCAGTTAATAGACACCCCGTCTAAACTTATCGTAAGTAGAAATTATTCTGGACATTTCCTTTAAAACTTCAAGGAAAATAAAGTTTCAATTATATGATTTACGACAAGAAATTTGAGCTAAATGCTATAGGATGGGTGTTTTAGTTTCAGAATGATGATATTTTGCCTTCCTCTTCCTGCTTGGACAATTTTCCAGATGCGTTTGATCTCATGTCCAGCCCTGTGTGTAAGCGATCATCTCAGCTCAACAGTCCTAGAACCAGGGTTTGTTTTATACTTTTCAAGGTATGCGTAATGCAAATTAAAACACATTGATGTTAATTGGAAAGACAAATTAAGCTGCATTTCTTTTATAGGAAAGAATTCTAATGAATTCCTCGTATGGGATTAAGAATGATGTTCAGGATTATCCGGATGTGGCTGAAGCTTCCGAAGGGGAAATGAGAACCATATCACCAGAAAGTGTCCTAAAGACCAATCCCTACAGGGAAGATGTCTTCTTATCCCAGGTATCAGAGCCCATCAGTCAACACAATGTGTCAGCCTTATCAGGGCACTCAGACATTTCAGTTTTCCTGTCAAGTCCAGAGAAACCGAGCCCACAGTACACCCCTGTAAAGAGTCCATGGTGGCCAGGCAAGAACAAGAGAAAGCAGTACACTCCCAAGAGGTCTCCATTTAACAACATCACCAACCTTAAAATGAGTCCACCAGAAGAAGAGGAGGAGGAGGAAGAAGAAGAAGAAAATATCCCCGAGCCCTCTACCAAGAAATTTAAATCGGAATCATGTGGAAAATTTTTACGTCGAAGTCCAGGTAAATTTTGTTTTAGCAGGTGAGGCCCCAATTACTGTATACAGGGAAATTTTCGCCCCTTTTGCCCTACCCTCATTTGGGAAGATTTAAAATGGGGCAAAATCAAAGAATACATAGAGGATATCTATATTGTGTGATTTGATCTTGGCTTTATCCAACGAGTTGAAATGGTGTATATATTTCGCGAGGCTTGCCGAGCGAATATACAACATTTCAACGAGTTGGATAAAGCCAATATCAAATCACACAATTATAGATGTTCTAGTTATCTCATACGACTTTCATTTTAACAAAACGTTGATGTTGACATGCCTCGAAAGAAAGTAGATCGTGTTCAAAATTTAGAATTTTTGCTATCTGCGTCTTTGAAAACATTATGTGACAATTGCTGGAGCTTTACGTCAAACAAACTTCTGACTGAAAGTTGTAAGGACCATGAGATCATGAAAATTGAACTCTTTGGACGATGGCAGTACAAAACGTGATAGGCAAGGCTAGGGGCCTAGGCCTACTTGTAGATTCATTGTTGATCAATGGTAAGTTACACCTACATTACTAGGTAGGCATATGTAGTATAATATAAGAGAGCATCATTGAAGATGTTAAAGGAATCTTATAACAACAACTTAACTGCTAGGCTTTACTTTCTCCTGAGAACAATTGAAAGGGGGGATGGCTCTTAAAGTAGCCAATAACAGGTTCCTTGATAAAATAAGACACTTCTTTGACATATACAAGTCTTTTTCTGGCTTTTCACAATATAATCGCTCTCTATCATTCATTTTATTAGGGCAATAATTTTTACAAATAAAAGTTTCAAATAAAATTTTGAAGCAAGGAATTGTGTCAAAACCGGAAGTGCTATTGATAAAGCATCTACCCGTGGATAAAGCATAAGTTTATCCAACAGCCTGTATCACCAACACGTATGAGATAAAGTATAATTTCTTAAACAAAACTATGACTGGACGAATTTAAAACGGGGCAAAATTGTTTGCAAGTGTGAAAGGGAGAAAATAACCCTGTCCTGTATACAGTATATCTCCTGAGCATTTACAATCAGTAGAATAATCTAACCACAAAACTCTGTCAGATAAAGTAATTTTTATATACATACATAATAACATTAATGTTATAAACCTACATTACAGTTGATGAAGATTTTGTATCCTATGTACCATATATATGGAAATTCCATAGTACATCTAGAGCTCGCAGACAGAAAGCAACACATGGTCACAAAAAATGCAGCAAGGACCTTGGGTAAGATCACACTTGAGCCAGTTTACCTATTTTAAAGTTTTAAACTGATAATAATAAAAAGAGAGTCGCCTGCAAAATAAATTCATCTTGAAACAAACCGACCAACTTTGTCAATCATAGATTGTATTTGCTTTATTATTCACCCCAAAAGTACCAGTTGAGTAAAATTTAATCTATGCTCTGTCTTTGCAGGGAAATCACAGATGAAAACAAGAACACTGTTAGTAAACCCGAAAAAATAGATCACAGAAAAACCACCTGGATGAATGGATTTATGATGTTTAGCAGATATAATCGCAAGAAGTTTATTGAGTAAGTTATTAATGATGTAACAGGAATAACAAAAAGCATTGCAGGACTGGAAATTGAACCTGGGACCACGTACTGTATCACTAGTCAGGTGCTCATCTACAGCATTACATTCCTTCCTCTCTGAATTGTCTCCCCCTAAAGACACAACCCAAGTTCTTGTTTTCCCCTGGCTGAACTTTCACCTGCAAGTTCAGGGGTGGTCAACAGCACCAAAATCGGTTAAAGGAAAATGTATGACTGGACTGGAAATTGAATCCAGGACCCCTAAAGATCTAGTAAGGTGTACTACCCCTGAGCTACTGATCCAGTCCCATATTCATAGCCCAAACCATTACACATGAACTGATAATTGCCATTACATGATATGTGCGCAATAATTTTTTTTAAGTGATGAAGCAGTGAATATAATAATTTTTCATAATTTCAGTTATCTCTTACTGATGATTTTTTAAAATTATATTTTCAGAGCTAATCCTGGTGTACACACCTCACACATCAGTAAAATCCTGGGACATACCTGGAGGAATATGTCTGCAGAAGAACAGAAACCCTACAAGTAAGACAACAGGCCTCTAGGCTAAAGGGCTCATTTTCTGAAGAGCTTCATAGGTATTACAGTTTTTTGCCAGCACAGAAAATGATTATTGAATTCAAGATAACTGAGTATTTATCTTTTTCAGGGATGAGGCCAAACTGTATGCAAATGAAATGAAGAACGATAACCTGTTGTGCCCAGAGAGCAGTGAGGAGGCATTTTCTAGTCCTGAAAAATCAGACTGAACTCAGAGGAGAAAGTCGAGGGTGAAAGGGATATGGGATGCAGTGGTGTACAGAGTAATTATTAAGAGGTACATCAGGTGTATGAAATCTATAAAGGTTAAAGGTTGGATATACTCTCATCTCTGCATTTTCAGGTTACCTGAATCACCTCCTGAACTTTTGCTATAGGGCTTTGTCTGTCTTCATGTATTGTTCTGCCATAAGCATTTGATATTTTCATTTCTTTGAGATGGGTGAACCAACCTTTGTATTAGGTATTTTAGCATGTAAGGATGCAGAACAAAGCAATTTCAGACACCACAGTGAAAATAAGTACATGTACATTGTAACTACAATTAAATACCGGTAGGTTTCCTGTATACTACTGAAAATAAAGGGGATTAAGAGGAGTAAATTCCTTTTATTTTCATTCCTTGCATTTTTTTAGGAAATTACTTTTTTTTTATATAAAACGTAAAGGCAGTTTTGTAAAAGAAATATGTTGTGCACAATGTTTTATTGTTTAATTGACTATTAAAAACTCAGACCAAAAAAATAAACTTCTTACTTTTTCAAAGTATTACATATATATATATTGGTGAAATGAGTATTTTTTGCTGCCTTTGTCTCAGTTTGTCAAAATTTGTTGTTTTTATTTGTATGGTGTTCTCTACCTATTACCACCTTTTAAAATCTCAGTGTGTTAGTTTGTTATATATATAGACATGTGTAAACATTTGAAATAATGCAAAGTATTTTAAATAATTCAATGATTGTTAATAAAAAATGCATTTTGTATACAAATGAAGACGGAATTTAAGTCAAGGAATTTCAAATGCTGTAAAAGTGAACATAAAACTTGTATTGCAGCAGCAGTCATTTTAGTTAAATGTCCTCAGTAACATGTCTTTGTTAACTGTTGTATATGCCCTGGTGGGTAGAATTATTTTTATAGACATTTTTATTCATTGCAGGAAGTTATTAATGTTGAAAACATTGATTTTTTTTATTTTGATTGTTAAATTATTGTTTTCCTTCATTTGTTGTTATCCTCTTGAATCATGTTGCCACAATATCATGCAAAATGTTTTTGACTTGAATAAAAGATTCTCCTTTAGACCTTATTTGCTTCTTCAGAAAGGGCTTAAGAATAAAAGATGGATATGATAAAGCAAGAGTGCCTCTTTCAAAACTTTAAAATTGTTCTTGACCCAAATTAAATCAGGGTTGCAAAATTGGAATGAGGCTCCATAGATCTGTTTAATGAAAATGCCATAGACTTTGAAAATCTCTGCTCTTCAGCTGACAAACAGTCCATGATAATGAAGAGAAAGAGAAAATGCCTTAACGAAAATCCACTCTGCTGGGTATTTAAAATACAAACAGAACATGGTTAGGTTAATGAATAAGAGGTCGTTGGACCACAATGCTCACCTGAGAAAATTTTTGGCCCCACACAATCCCCAGGGGTAATGATTTGAAAAAGACCGCTAACAGCTCAATGGCCATAAGTGTGTTAAGTTTGTAAAGAAAATGCATTAATGAAAATCCACTCTGCTGGGTATTTAAAATACAAACAGTAAATGATTAGGATAAGGGGTGATGATTTGAACAATTTATAATTCTCACTCCCCAAAATGCCTTCACACAACAATGCTCGGGTTACCTGGGTACTTGGGTCTTGCTTTATAAAATGTTTTGACCCCACACAATCCCCAGGAATTTTTTAATCTTACATTGTCTTGTAATGATTTAAAGAAGACCCCTTGACAAGGAACTTACAGCTCATTGACCATAAGTACCCAACTGATATGTAAAAAATAGTATCAACAAGCTTCATACATGTTTATAATCCAAACCTAAGTACCTGTGAGTGATTTTTGAGAAGATTTTTAAAGATATTTCCATTCTATATTGATGTAAAACAGTTCTTGAGAAGATTTATTAATGACTCCAGCCTATATTTGTCTTCTTGATTATCTCCCTATGGAAGGGGGCTTGACCCTTCATTTGAAAAATTAAACTCTACAAAAACCCATCATACAATCAGAAGAGCTTATGCGATAGTAATTAGTCCGTCCGTCTGTCTGTCTGTCTGTATGGCCCTGTATAACTTATCACACAAGTAGACTACACTAAGATACATAATTCTGTGTGTTTTTGATATGAAACAATTTTATAATTCCAAAATGCTACTCCCTAGGGTGTTGCTAAAAGACGGTGCCTTCACGGAAAACATTTGAGATTAAATCATTTAAAATTAAATTTCTCAGAAACGCCATGATCAATGAAAGTTTAATTAATCATTTAAGTCTCTTACGAAAAGCGCTACTTGGCTCCAATTTCTTGCTATTATTTTGTACACATGTACCAGAAATTGATATGATCATTTCAATAGTATAAAGGTTATGTCTGGAATACAAGGTATCTTTATAAATCATGATAATTGGTAATAATGATAATAAACCAAGACTATTAGAGCTCCCACAAGATAACACGATTGTAAAACTGGTTTTTAAAATTTTATACAAGTGCTATCAATTAAAATCTTGGATAGATGGAGTTGTAAATCTTTACTGTAGTAAAATTAATATAGATTTTTAAAGATATTTCCGTGTTTTTCTAGCTTTCATATTTGAATTTCTCAATATGTATCATAACTCATGGATTTTCTTTTTGTGACCAATATATGTGTGTGTGGCCCTGCCCTACCTAGGTGTCATGATTAGCACAATTTACAATCTAAACTTCCCAATGATGTTTCAAAATAAGTTTCAGTTTTTCTGGCACAGCAGTTCTTGAGAAGATTTATTAATGACTCCAGCCTATATTTGTCTTTTCTTGATTATCTCCCTATGGAAAATAAAAAGGGATTTACCCTTAGTTGTACATCTAAAAAATTAAACATCGCATATACAAAAGCCCATTGTTCTCATTTTCATAGGTTAATTTTTTTTTTCGCGTTATTACGCGAAACTTTTGCGAATTATTACGCGTAACTTTCGTGTTATTACGCGAAACTTTTGCAAATAAATGCGAAACTTGCGTAACTTTGGTGTTACAGTGACTTACAGTGCGTAACTTTCGCGTTATAGCGTGTAACTTTAGACGAACATAATTCTGTACATTTGTTTTTGATTTCGATGAACGGTGTTGCTGTGGTTACTACAAATAGAAATTTCTGTGAAATTCTTTCAAAACTTCCTCCCGTTTTGATCCAATTTCAATATTTCGCGACTACACAAAATATGCATTGGTTTTTGATAGAAATTTCCATAAAAATACTGTGAAATGCTTTCAAAATGTTTTCCCTCAGTAACATTCACTACAACTGTGCCACTTGTAAAATAAGCAGTCCATCATTTGGGACTAAGAATTAAACCCTGTAGAAACATTGTTTAAAAGATATATTTCCTGAGACATTGAACAACGGCCACTTTAAATTTTATAGATTAAAGTGTGAAGAAAATTTTACACTTTAATCTGAAATAGACATTTCCTTTTTTTACACATTAAAGTGTAAATTTTACAGATGAAAGTGTAAAATTTACACTTTAAGTAAATTTTACAGATTAAAGTGTAAAATTTACAGATTAAAGTGTAAAATTTACAGATTAAAGTGTAGAAATTAAAAAAAAGTGAAGTGTCCAAGTGGCACTAATACTACAACTGTGCCACTTGTAAAATAAGCAATCCATCATATGATGCTGTTTAAAAATAACAATTATAATTTCCTAGCCACGGCCGGGCCATATGATGTTTAAATCAAATATAGGGTAGACATAATGTAAGCATTGAAGTTTGGAGCTTACCTATTTTCGTTGGTTTAGCTCCCCCCCCCCCCCCCCCCCCCCCCCACACACACACTTTTAATTTGCTTCCGACGCCCTTTCTACAGTGAGTCTAGCGGAAACAAATGAACATTTTTCAAATTCTCTAGAGAGTGTTAAAAAATGACACAAGAGAGGGGTGGTTTTTATCCCAAAATTTATATTAATAATAATCATGAAGTTTAACTTTTGGAAAACTCGCATAGACTTTGAATTGTTTGAACAGCGTTGAGAAAGACAAAATTTGACGGTAAAAAGGTTAAGATATAGGAAAGACACATTGAATAGTGCTCAAGAAAACTTAAAATTGTAGCTTGTGATGGTCCAAGATCAAAATAGCCTTTTGCTATTCATTGTAATAAATAAACTACATAACAAAAAAAAATCAAAAGGAAAGTTGAGGCTTATGCAAATGTCTCGCATTCTTACGCGAAATTTTTATTTTTTCAACCTACGAAAATGGGCTTTCGTAAAACTTTCTTTATATGAACCCAAGGATTGTTTTGTACCCAGTTTGGTTAAAATTGGTCCTATTGGTTCTTGGGAAGAAGTTAAAATGTATATATAAAAAAAAAGTTTACAGAAGAACAAAGGAACGGCCGACACCGGGTAATTAGCATGATTAAGAAAACTCACTCGCGTTTTCAGCTCAGGTGAGCTAAAAATGCTTGATCGCGTTGATGAAGAATTCAGATCGGGCTTGACATTCCATTTTGTTTTCATTCCGCGAACGACAAACGAACAGGTGAGATCATCATCATAGGTAAAAATTTAAAAAAAATATTTATATAATACTCATTTATAGTTAGATGAATCATGTTTAAAATACTGAAGGGAACATCAGTAGAATGCATCGTGTCAGTTCGCATTCATAACATTTAGATAACTCACCTGTGTTCACAATCACATACTGACATAGGTATGGTGTGACCAAAAACTAGAGAACAAAATTATCTAATTAATTTGTAAATGTTGGCATAAAACGTTTGTTTTTTAGTTTGTTAATTTATATCACGTTTTTACGGATATACCTGCCCAAAATTATAGTCTGTATACATATTATTTTGAACTTTCTCTCGATCACTCTCCAAGTTACTTCCCTTTGAGCATGTATCGCACCATTCCATGAAAACTGTTCTATCAAATGTTTATTGATTATCTTTAAGTAATTTCAACCTTTGATCTTTTATTAAAAGTTGCTAATTCACAAAGACAGCATATTTTAAGTGAATAATTGAATTAGCAAGCCCAAGAGACAGAGAAATCGTATTATGTGATATTTCTCTCCCGTGTATCTTCTAAATTTTATGAGTGCCCAGTGATGAAACATTAACATTAATGAGGTAATTACTGCTAATAAAAGGTTCCATATTCAAGAAGACAAAAACGCTTTCTGTAAGTAAGTAAAAAGCATGTTTAGAAATATCTAAAAGGCGTTAGAATTTTGGAAAACGAAGAGCTTGTCATTTTCAGTTTATACAAATTCTAATTCAGTGTCATCATTCATTACGAATTATTTTTGTTATGTATATAATTGTGATAACCATATTCCGTTTTGTACTAAAGTGCATTTCCCGTGGCATTTTCTGAACGAGCACTGCATGATGAGTCTGATTGGAATATTGTGCTCTAAGACATAATATCAATCATGCACATTTCAAGATATGATTTAAAACAAAGATTCACTCAGATAGCCACAGTTCAGAAAACAATTACAAGATTAAGTGCTATTTGCCACTAAATGATCCTAGTTCTTTCCATTAACTTGATGGGAAATCTTGCGTAAATACATCATTGATTATAGATTTCTAATATTCACACCTGTTCTAAAATTAATGTACTTTATATAAATCTTTTCTTTACTTCTATTCTGATGAGCTTGCGTACAAAGTACAGACACTCTATTACAGATTTATGGGTGATAAACTAAAGCAAGAGATTTTTTCAACAGGAAGAAAGGTTGAAAAATGTAATTTGATATCTGACAAAATGTCAAAAATAATAATTATATCAATGTCGTTGTATTTTTTTTCAATCAGTAATTAAAAATGCATATATTTAAGTTTGAAAAAAAACTTTCGACAGGGGGGATCAGGAAATATACATTTCCTATGGAGCTTGATATCTACGCTGTATATCTGCTGTCAGAAATGAGTCCGGATCATTACTACATAACATTTTCAAACCAGCACACTATTTCATATCAATCATTCCCCATTTTTACATCAGATAATGTATGATCCATCATAAATGAGATAACTTTTATATCCAATGGAGAAGGGGGAAAAT